ATAAAAATTTTCAAGTAATTTGAATATGTAGAAAGAAAAAAAAATTAAGCACTACCGGACATCCGTGATCGTCAGATCGCCCCAGATTCATTTAGGGCCGTTGGGCTCATATGTTCATATGAGCTAGTGGGCTAATCCCATATTTTTCCACACACACATACACACACACACACACACATATATATATATATATATATATTTATTTATTTATTTCTCATATTATTTTGGATTATTAATTAAGGCTAATTCATGATTTATATGGACGAACACCGATCCAACAATTAATATGGACTTGTGGGGTGGACATCATTGATCCAGGCTTTGAAACAAGAATTGAAAGTAACCAAAAAATAAAAGTGAATGGTTTATATATTTTCACGATAGCATAGAAGATCTATACTTCCCCTGCCATCCAGCTGTCCAATATTGATCAAGAGAGCCACTTACCGTTTGATCTTAGATTCGATGTCTCAAAATATATATATTTTAGTTATTTTATACAAATTGTACGAATATGAAATTTGGGAGGTGCCATATTCTCATTGGGGCGCACGTATAAAAAATATTAAAAATATTTTTTGATAAAATATAATGACTAAAATACCCCTTGAAACTTTCAGGGGGTATTTTGGTCATTTTATTATATTGGGAATATTTGTTTTATATTTTTTGCTAGTGAACATTTAATAGAGGATTGAACATACAAAATTTGGTATTAAAATAGTTTGTAGAAAAAAAATTAAAAATAAAATAATGTAGAGATGTGACATTATAATTATCGTTCCATTCAAAATGTACGGTTGGATACAAAAACATATATTAGTTTTATGTTGTAGGGGAAGCTTAGGAAGCCTACCCCAATAAAATATAAATTAGATATGATTAAATAACAAATCAGGCTCACCTGCTCTCTATTGGCGCCTCGATGAATTATCATATTTTGTTCGGCTCTCCAACCCGAACGTAATAAAATAGCTAAAGATTTCGTGCTCTCACGGGAGTATTTTACCCATTTGCTCCTTCTGGTATATCTCAATCTAGAAGTGTCATTAGGACTTCGTTTGTTACTTATGTAACCATTCAACTTATATATACTCATCTCGTTAAAAAAAAAGGGTTCCAAATAACTCTTTGTAGGTTGAGTAAAATAATGTGTCAAGATTGAACAAGGACGGCCTAATTTATAGAGGGTAAGATTTAAGAGTTACAAAACTCAAAATCCAACTTTTTTTTCCTTTAAAAATAATAATCTATTGATTTTTAAATGATTTATGAAATTTCTTATCCGAATAATTCTCGAAGTAGATCTTTTGCTATAGTGGGAGTAAGTGTACAGATCGATCCCGCGGGAGCTTCATATTTAGGCTCACAGAATAATAACAAATACACCCAATGGACGTGGGCAGTTTCGATATCTTCTGCATAATTTTCAACGATAATACTTGGTACATGGAAGACAGTAATTGCTATCGTTTATGTTATAAACAGTCCATCAAAACAATTTAACCAACGATTATAAAATCGGACGGTTGAGACTCGATGGCAGGCTATGAAACTTATTGCTATTATAGTTTACATTTTGCAAACCCTAGATACATCTTGTGTAGCCTCTCTCTCACTCTCTCTCTCCCTACTTGCCACGTAAGCTGAGAAGGGTTCGTATTTATTGAGTTTCGTGATGTTTCCGTTCTATTTTGCCCATCTCCTCTACATATATTCGTCTCTCTACCTCTCATGGCGATTTCGCGTTGGATCTGATTTCTCTCTCCAGGTTAAACAATGGGCGTACCCGCGTTTTACAGATGGCTTGCTGATAGATACCCTCTCTGCATCGTAGATGTCATTGAAGAGGAACCAGTCGAAGGCGATAATGGCGTCTTACTACCCGTGGATGTCTCTAAACCTAACCCTAATAACACGGAGTTTGACAATTTATATCTTGACATGAATGGGATTATTCACCCATGCTTCCACCCTGAAGGCAAGGTATGGGTTAAACCATAGTCTGTCAAATCTTTACAATATTTTAATAGGATTTTACATGTATTTTTTTGAATTTGAGCACTGGTTCCAATTCTCAGGTCTAATAACTCTGCAGAGTAAGCTACCTAATTTATTGAAGGAGGGCAATATCTGAGCCCTAAATTGAGTTTAGTTGTTTTGCACCTTCAAACCTCAGTGGGCTAATTTGTTTTTTTTTAACTCTTTGATGTGATCATCAGATTAGTTTATCAGTTTCATTAGACAGGCTGGACCATGCCATACATAATGGATTATTAGTCTGAAGTTTAGAAGTATAGCTGATAAATATAGTAAAAATGTTCATGAAGTAATTAATTGTGCAAGAAAATCTTCACACCATTTCCATTGATGACTTTAATATAAAAACTGAAATTGTTTCCCATTTAATGAGGCTGACAAGTGATGTTCCAAACTGCTTCCAATGAGCATTTGCTTGTTTACCCCACTTTTCAGATACATGTTATAAGAACAAGAGTACATAGATCTCATGACAGCGCATCCCTAGCTAAACCATGTAGAGTGGATGGATATGCTGACTAGCTGTAAAACGAGTTTGAATGTGATTGTATGGTACATATCTTGTTTACTATATTGATGATAACCAATCAGGTAATTTGAGCTGATTTGTGGGAAACCTGCTTAGTTATAGCCACTCGTTGGTCTGAACAGTTAATCAAGGTGATTAAGAGATCTCTCCATAAATTTTATGGTGCCAGATTATAACAATGCTCAGTCTTTTGTCTTTGGTTTGGCTTCTTCTTTGGTGTCTCATGAGTAGTATTTACCATGTGCACATGCGCACATATGATTTAATATCCTATTTCCCTACTGAACAAATATCTCAATTCATTTACCAAGAGGGAAGAAAAAAATAAAATTTAGGTAGTATTTGCTTATCTTTACCAAGGTCAACCCTCTAATCAAACACCCCTGATCATCCCATATTTTTAGTGTATATCATTGTTTTTCACTTAAGATAGCTAGTATTTGAACTGAATTCTTTGACATATTGTGAGTTTATAAGTGGTTGATTAGATTGTGAGAAGATAAAGATAGGTATCATACCTGTAAAATTTCGTAATGTTTGTTGCAAGTTGCCAGTGCTTGCTAAATATTATAATTATACACACTTCTCTATAGATGATTTTTTATTTGTTCTCTATAAATGAGTTATGATTACAACGGAGGAAATGAGTACATATAATTTGCTGAAATATATATATTTTTGTTCTCATTATCATTATCAGAGCCTTTTCGCAACTATTTGGGGTCGGCTACATGAATCATGGTTCGCCATTTTTCTCTATCAAGGGCCATATCCTCAGTGAGGCCATAAGTCTCCATGCCTTTCTCACTACTTCTAACCATGTCCTTTTGGGCCTAACCTTGCCCTTTTTGAGCCTTCCACTTGAACCAACTCGCATCTCCTAACCAGTGTTGTATTGGGTCATACTTTTTTCTATTCTCTTTGATCTAAATATAAACTAAATGGATCCTTCTCGTTCATGTTGACTGTGTCTATTGTTTGTTTCTTTTGTATATCGTGAAAGAATGCTAGTGACTATCTGTCTGGTTAATGGATAATTGATAGTCAAAAGGTCGCGTTCTTACTATAGGGATCTGGACTTAATGTTGTTGTACATTTTTGTTTCAGCCTGCTCCATCAACATACAATGAGGTATTTAAGTCCATATTTGCTTACATTGATCACCTGTTTGCGCTTGTGCGTCCCAGGAAGCTATTGTATATGGCTATAGGTGAGCATTAAATGCACTCTAATGTTAGTCTTAGTAATATGTGGTTTAGGGATATTTACAGGGAAATTACAACATAGATATCTCTCATTGCAGATGGTGTCGCACCTAGAGCTAAAATGAATCAGCAGCGTTCTCGGCGCTTCAGGACTGCAAAAGATGCTGCTGATGCGGTGAGTTGTTTTATAATTTTCTCTCCAGTATGGAATCACCCATTGATCTTATTGCATTGGACAGGCAGCAGAAGAGGAGAGGTTGAGGAAGGAATTTGAGGAACAAGGAAAATTGCTTGCTCCGAGAGAGGAAAGAGAAACATCTGACTCAAATGTCATAACTCCAGGGACTAAGTTTATGGCTGTACTATCAGCTGCACTTCAATATTACATACACTCAAGACTCAATTACAATTTGGGTTGGAGTAACACAAAGGTATGTTTCTAAACATCATTGATCTAGATCTTTGCACCCTTAGGATCAAATATGTTTTCTCATCCTGTGGAATAATTCTATCTGGTTTTATTCCGTGAAATGCTTTGGTTTTCAGGCTGCTTTTCAGTCTAAATTTATTCACGGAGATATGCATTGGGTGATTATTTGAAGGTTATATTATCTGATACCAACGTTCCCGGCGAGGGTGAACACAAAATCATGTCATATATTCGTTTGCAACGTGATCTTCCTGGTTTCAATCCGAACACGAGACACTGTCTTTATGGGTTGGTAAGTGTTCACACCTATTCCATTTCGCCCCTCCCTCCCTCCCTCCTTCTCTCTGTCCCTATATATATATATGTATTTATATACATACATATGTATGTATGTATGTATGTATGTATGTGGTGATTATTTAATGTGTGAACCAAAAAACAAAAAAAAAACAGTGCTTGGTTAATTTTTATAGACATCTCTTGTACCCATGAATTCTTTTTGTGCTCAGGATGCAGATCTCATCATGTTGTCTTTAGCTACTCACGAGGTCCACTTTTCAATCTTAAGAGAGGTAAGTTGATTTTTCTATAATTGTCAGTCATGTGAAACCCTTGATGTCTCGGATTAAAAGACCTCACTACTGACTCATACAGGTGGTTACCATGCCAGGACAACAAGATAAATGCTTCAATTGTGGTCAAGTTGGGCATTTGGCTGCAGAATGCAACGGAAAGTTGGGGGAGCATTCCACAGAATTGGAAGGCAAGGCAACAAATGACACACCAATTCATAAAAAGAAATACCAGGTCTGAATGTTGAATGAAGCAGCAGGATCAATGCTGCCATAATGTACTTTACGGCTTTTGTTCATTTAACTGAAGTGAGACTGGCATTTTTTTTACTCATTCACATGTCTCTAATGAGTGTCATTGAATTTAATTGCAGTTCCTTAACGTCTGGATATTACGGGAGTACCTGAAGTATGATTTGGATATTCCTGATCCACCATTTGAGGTTAACTTTGAGCGTATTGTTGATGATTTTGTCTTTCTGTGTTTCTTTGTGGGAAATGACTTTCTTCCACACATGCCTACTTTGGAGATCCGTGAGGTTGGTACAAGCTATAATTTCAAAAGCTGTTGTTTCAAAAAGTATTGTTAAATTAGTTCTAATTTCTGACAGTACATGCTCGATTATGTATATAAGCTTTGTTTGAGCTGTGAACTTGATAGCCCTTATGCACTAGAGGATGTACAGTTGTCATCATCTATCTATGGATGGGGTTGCTGTAGTTTTCCCCTAGCATTAGGATTTTTGCTCAATCTCTCTCTCTCCCATACAGCAGAAATTCATTCTTCTTTGTTGTGGAATACTTATGTTATCTTGGTTTATCTGGTAATCAGGGTGCAATAAACTTACTCATGGCTGTTTACAGAAGGGAATTTGGGGTGATGGGTGGTTATCTGACAGATGCTGGTGAGGTAATTAATTTTATAGAACCTTGTCAAGCTTATCTTCTTATTGTTTTAGCCGAGTCTGTCTCATCAAATGCTGAGTATACATGTTGCACTTTCTCATCTTATCTTAACTGACACTTGTTTACCTTGGTTACCCTTAAAGAGTGTTTCCCAAAATTAAGCTGAGCCACTCCATCAGGTGGACTATTTCACCTAGCCTTCTCTCTGTTTCCACTCCTTTACCATTCATTTGCCAAACCATTGTACTTCCAGTCCCCTACAAACTTGTTTATGAAGTCCTGTTTTGTTTGGCATTGTGATTACCATGACTTTCTTTGGTTGTATCATTGTTTGCGTTGTTGTTTTCATTGACTTTTACATTCTTTTGCGGTTACCTTTCATTTCGCTGACCGAAAGTTTAATTAATTTTGGCTATAAACAAAAACATCTTCTAATTCCGGGTATTATTGTTCCTAGGTTAACTTGGGAAGAGTAGAGCATTTTTCTCAGTCTGTTGGAATATATGAAGATCAGATATTTCAAAAGCGTGCACGCATTCAACAGGTAAGAATGGTTGTTATCCTTTCCATAGATCCACACAAATATATTCTAGTGTATTTATTGGGAGGAATTTGGTGGTCTTTAGAATTAATTTTTGTGAAGGTTTCAAACATATTTACCATTTTTTATCTTTTATTCTTGAAATTGTTTTTGTAAAGAAAAAGTAATATGGGGTCTGATAAGAACTGGTTCAATGAAGTAGGATGCCGCAGCTGTTTGGGGAATTATGGGTGACTTGCAGCATTGAGATGATCAGAATAGTGGTTAATGGACAGAGAAAGAAGGGTAGCAGTTGAGATTTGTAATCTGTGAAAAAATTGAGAGATCCATGAGGGACTTTGGATATCTGTGAACTAGACTTTCGGTTGAGGAATGAATTTTGGCATAACCTCCTAAAACTAAGTTGGTATTAGATAATCAGATGTTCCTTGATAGTGTGTTCGGTCTGTGGAATCGTATTTAGAAAATTGATTAACGTTTGGAGGCCGGAATATTTCTTTCTTATACTATGTAGAATTTCAGGGCTGAGAATGAAAATAGCACGATTTCATTTTGGGTTTTGGTCCAATCATTGAGTTATACACACACAGAGAGTAGAGTATAGACGTGAAAAAATGAATTAAGGGGCATATCCTGATGCATGATTGATCAATATGGATTACTGTTGAATACAAGAGATGCTTTGAAATATTTATTTTAGCATGGCTCTTCTATTGAAAAATGATGCATAAATTGAAGTCATGAGTCTTTTGTGAGTCATATTTGTTCCTTTTGACAGCTTATATTGTTCTCAGATATGTTTGCATTTGTTGGCTTATGTAATCTAGGCATTTGAGAACAATGAAGAATTGAAATTCAAAATGAGAAGAAAGCCAGCTGAAGAACCGCCAGTGTCTGTTCCAGATAAGGTTTGGCTTTTATTTTGGTCCCATATCTGCACTTGCACGGTATAACATTTGAATACATTGTTCTCTATATGAATGCATGCTACGTAGGGGTAAGTAAAGAATCTAGCTTTTCACCTTCTCAGTGAAGTGAAATTCTGTGCCTTTTGTAATGGATAAATGTCCACCTGGATGACGCTATTAACTTTTTCAGGTTAAAATAACAGAAAATGTGCTATTCTCAGTGCATAAGTGATAAGTTGACTTCTTTCTTGAATCGTGATTTAAAATTAAAATCAGCTTGGGTCAGGGACTGAACATTTGGAATTCTTTCTTATAACCATTGGGCATGGGCTTTATTAAATGAGAGACTGGGAAGAACCTGTAGAGAGGGAGAGAAGAGTCATGATAGATCTCATGGGGCTAGATTGCGGCATTGATATATCAAATGAGTTTCATGGGTTTGTATTGTCTTGCCTCGCTTACATTGTGCTAGAAATTCTTGACCCTTCCCTTAACAGCCTTGAAAGGACAACAAGACCCTTTTTTGTACATTTCTTCTATGGATTGAATTCTAAGTCCCTTTAACTCAATCACTACCGACTAACTGTTTTCATATAGAAGACATTGTTACATGGACCTCCTCCCCACATGAGTTTTTTAGGAATGTAATGCAATATAACATAATTTTTCAGTTATACCAACTTGATTATTTAGGATTCAGGAACATGGTTGACTGGTCACACCTTTCTGAAGTACTAACATATGCATCTACGTGGTCGATTGTATACATGAGAGACTTGCATACATTTTGTTTGAGGTTTTGTATGTGTTCATGTTATAAACTTTGATTCTTTAACAGTTCAATTGCAATCTATACCAAAAAAACACCATATTATGGGAAACGATAATGTCCTCAAGAAATGAACATTTAAGAAATTGAAAGCATCTTTGATTAACAATAAAAATTTCTTCGGGCGAGCATCTTGCTATGGGCACACGTACCGCTATTAGACAGTTCCAAATTTCAGGATCGACCATACTTGATGCCTGACACTTGCTCTGAGTTTGTGAATTATTATTGTCGTTGGTTTGTGTGCAAACACAATGGCCTTGGCATACGCTCATAAAACCACGGCTATATGTCATTTTTCTATATAACAACATGTAATTTGGGTCACATGATGTGGTTTTCCAGATAAAGTTAGGAGAACCTGGGTATAAAGAGAGATACTATGCTGAGAAGTTTGGAGTAAATGCCCCCGAGAAGATTGCTACTGTCAGGGATGAAGTTGTAAGTTCTCTCATTTATGATCTGTTACATGCTTACTTTGATCTTTAACATCATCTTGTGGTTGATTTTCACACGGACTAACCCTCAGATTGTACATGTGCTGTTATGGGAAAATTGCAATTTCTTTAGCTATAATAGATTTAAACTGCATTGTTCTTTGAATATGTAGTTTTAAAATGCGTTTGTAGTCAGGAATCTGCTATACTCACTGTATTCCTTGCATTGAGGACTGTCCTCACTCTTCTTCATATGTCAGAATATGATCCACTGGTTATGCAATGGAGATACTGTGATGGCACACTTCCCATTTGAACTTGGTGTGCAAGCACATGTTTGCAACTGTACCTACTCTCTTATGTTTGTGACATGCATGCAGAGTAATTTTTCTGAGAAACTTAGGTGGTTTGCCTTTTCAACTATCTGTACTTTTTGGACTATAAATGATGGATTATCATGTCGTTTGCTGGTTGATTGCCCCCTGTTGCATAAAATTTTCTTTTTTTGTCTAGACCTTTTTTTTTGGATTTTCACAGTTACACTGTGCAGTTTAGGGCGCTTCTGGATGCCACCCTGAGCCATGATTTGGATGCATTTTGATGATTAGCTTGTTTGCAGAGAAACAAAAACAAATTTTTTTAGGATCTGGCATGAAACAATTTTTTTTAGGATTTGGCATGATCTTCTATTTGCAGATTGAACCCCCAAACCATGAACTTAGAGGTCTTACCCTCTTCTTTTTTTTCATTTCAAGAATTGAAGCTCTTTATTGTCTCTCTCTCTCATTCCTCACCACAGCTCATTTCTCTCTCTTTCTCTTCACTCTCTTTCCTTCTTGACCTCAATCCCCCTGCTCTCTGTCTGCTCAGTCTACCCTTTTCAGCAGAAAGAGATCACCATTGAAATTGAGGCAGAAAGAGGAAGAAGGTTATGGCCCTGAAGCTTTGAAGAACCCTAGATAATCAAGATGTGATGGAGATTGAACACTCTGAACCTGAGCTTGAAGATGATACTGCCCAAGAAGCGTATGCTTCAACAGAAGTTGGGTTCCCTATAGAACATGAGTTTTAATAGCGGTGGTGGTTATTTCTCTCCATGGCATCACATAGGGCCTTATCTCTCTAATTCTCCCACCCCACAAGACTTTCTCTCTGTAATATTGTCATGTTGGGTGTCCTAGATGGGCTCTGCAAACACAAGGAGGGTTGGTTTGTGGCTAGAGAATGGCTGCTGCTTTTGTTACGGGTGGTGTTGCAGCAGACATATCTAAGAGCTTTGCAGCTCCCATCGAGCGAGTGAAGCTTTTGCTCTAAAATCATGAAGAATTGCTGAAAGGGGGCATTTCAAGATTCCATATACAAGGATCGTAGATTGCTTCCCCAGAATGTTGAAAGAGGGTTTTCTCTCTCTACTCACTCCTAATCCAAGAGCTAAATAATCCTGGTCCTTGAACCAAAGTTCTCTCAATAAGGAGTTGGAGAGTCAAAAGTGTTTTCCAATATGGAGAAGTTAAGCATCAAAGCTTAGCATCAAAACTTTTTATGACTCAATATCAATGATTATCACACGAATTTTTCTGCTAAATTCTGGCAAAATTGGAGTAAATTCCTTTAAGGAAGACAAATTCTAACAAAAAGGATTTTGTTTCAATGGGATTGGCATGCATTTGGCTTATGTTCCTGTTACTTCAATCGAAGATTGTTGGGCTTTTAATGGATGTCATACATTGTGCTTTCTTGTGGTTTTGGGTGGTCCGAAGAGTGAGTCAGCATTGGAGGTTGTGGGAGAGAGAGGTTTTTTGGGGTAGATGAGGTTGTTGAGACAGAGAGGAAGGGGAGGAAGAGAGAGAAGTGGGTTGTGGTTGAGATGGCCTTCATTGGGCTCTCTTCTTTAGAGTTTGGGAAACTCTTTTTGTTTTTAAGTTTCTCTCTGTATGGCCAAACAAACCTCAAAACCGCATATTATTTAAAATGCGGTTTGAAATAATTATGCAAATGGCCACAGTTAACACTTTCAAAAAAAAAAATTATGCAAATGGTGAAAGGTGGACTCTGTGAACGGGCAAGTCAATACCAATTAAAATTTTTCTATATTTTTTTAATTATATTGCCTCTTGAGTCACTTACAAATGTCCAAATACAATCAGTGGTCGAAAATTTGGCTCCCGATCGCCTAGGCGAAAAATTTCAAAAAATGCCTAGGCGATGTTTGGGCGGTGGAATTGTGCAGCCTGTCAACGATGCTCGCCTAGGCGGGCAAGGCGCCGCCTAGGCGCTATAGTTTGGGCGGCCCGTCTAGTGATAGTTTGCGGAAGGGCGAAAAAACCCTCGGCGAGAGTAAAAAAAATGTCATTTCCCCCCCTAAAAAGGGGGGAAAAGGGTTTTGGGGGGTATTCTAAACCCCCCAAACAAAAACGGTGGCTTTTAGGGTGAGAAAAACTACTCTTTTGTGATTTATCGAAAGATTGATAAAGTTTTGATTGTTGTGATTTATTCTTAAAACAAAGACAATAGCTCGTGGGAGTATTTAGAGCTTCTAGTAGTTGATTTTGAGGACTTTTGACGACCTAATAGATGAAGTTTGCACCGACATCCATTTGATTTTGATATTTTTATCATATTTGAAAGAGGGTTTTGATTTTATTTTGCTACAACATATTATGTTGCGAATCGTGTTTTTTTTTTTTCTTTTTTTTTCTTTTACGATATATATATATATATATATATGTTTGGTTGATGACTTGATGTATTTGTTTCTTGATTTTGCCTTGTTGATTTTGTGTAAAGTTTCTAGTCTAGACTTCTAGTTTCCTACAATGATATTTGGGATTTCAAGCATTTTAATGTCTTAAATGTTACAATCTCTTTGAGACTTGTATCCGTAAATCTGTTATGTGATTGTACTTTTACATTTAGTTCTATTTCACGAGGAGTTTGGGGCTCTAAAAACTCCCAAAGACTTAAAAACCATGCCCTAAGAACTCCCATATTTTTTTTTGTTTGGGGCTGGAAGGGGGGAAGGGGGGGGGGGGGGGTTCAATTTTGGTGAGGACACCCTATCTCTGGACGGGCGCCTAGGCGGCCAGGCACCCAAAACACCTAGGTGTCTGAATCCGCATTTTTGAACATCGAATACAATATAAATCAGATAAGATTGCGAAGAACTCTCACTTGCTTGCCATTAAAAACAAAAATACAAATCTAGAAATGAAATATGCAATGGAATTAAGAGAGCATAAACCAAGGACTTCGTGCACGATACACCAGGTCTCCTCCACCAATGACATGAGATCTCGATTCAAGATCCCATCTCACAACTTGGGAAGCCTAGGCAAAAGCCATCAGAGAGCATAACAGGGAATATCCCTTGACCAAGGCGCAATACATAAGCATAAGGTCAGACCTAGGGCTAGGCTATGTGGCTTGGCAATGCCACCCCTTGGGGTTAGATTTCTTTCTTAAAACCCTAAACATGGAGAGAGGAGAGAGAAGTTTATAGAGGGGTAGGCCAACCCTTAGAGGCTCAGAGAGAGAGAGAGAGAGTTGAGGTGTGTAGAGAATGAAACCCCCATAGCTAGTTTATATAGAACAAGGCTAGGGTTTTTAGGGTTAGGGTTTTTGCCATCATTATGAGATTTAATCTCGACTTTTGATCTTGGAGACCTGTGGGGTGAAGAGATCTCATCCATTCATTCCTGAGATCAGCCATCATGATTAAAGGAATGAGGTGAAACCATTATCCTTCAGTTTCCATAACTCCATCCCTATCAAATAATTTAGAGAAAGTAATAAATCTATTCTAATTATTTTCTTACACTTTCCCTTTTGAAAGTAATCAAAATCTCTACACAAAACACCTTCCTAAACACTCAAAACAACCCATGGCCTTATTGCCATAATGCAAAATAGGAAAGTTTGGAGGAGGTGGGCCCCACCACCCATGGGCCCCATATATTGGTGGGCCCAATGAGCCCTAATGGGCCCCCAATAATTAAAATAACATTTCAGATAATAAATAATTTTATAAAGTCTCTAAATATTTTATTTTTCTCTGATTGAAGTAAATCCTAAAAATTGTTTTTCCTTTATTTGAAAATGATTTTCAATAAAATAAAATACCTAGAGAGGTCCAAAAATTCGTTTTAATTATCTGAAAATTAATTAAAACATATTTAAACATATCTAAGTTGATTCGATGAGAATTGGATCCATAGAATTAAGATTATGACAAATATATTGAGGACTCCATCTTCTTTAAAGACCGTATTTTACTATACATTATCAAATTGATTCAACAAATCCTATGACCCACAACCTCTCGCAGGGGTTCATGATTGGACTATCAAAGTTAGCCAATAAACTGCGGGAGATACGATTGTAGACCATGGATTATAGGTCCCTCCCTGAGGACAAGTCTAGGCCCCATTTCAGCAGTATGCTCCATGGGTCTTTTCAACACAGTCCAATGTTGCAGGGAGTCATCTCTTCTATATATGTACACGTCGCACACCGTGATTCATAAAGGGTCGCTTCTCAGACGACTATCTAGTTTACAGGCTGTGTGATGGTAATGATGAGGATTTAGGCCCGTGTTCTCGCAGGCCATCCATCATACACAAGGGTCAAGTCCATGTCCCCCGTCAACTGTCTTAGGTACAACTCCAACCTCATCAAGAGATAACCCCACATCGAAAGCCTTTATCGGTTGTGTTCACATGTGCCCAGGACTACAGGTTTTTGGACATCACATTGAGCCATAGCCAGTCAAAGCTCATGTGTGTCTAGGCATTAGAAATGCCTCACAGTCCACTGTGGACTACACTGCCACTGGAGCCAACATTTCATTATATGTTTTTCAGTACATGCTCTCATAAGGCCTTTAAATGGCAACAAAACCCAAACAAATGCCATATGCAAATGAAAAAACATAGATTGATTTCATCCAAAACTGTAACTTAAACTTCACTCTGGTACTGAACTTGCAGGGATGACTTGGCCGTTAGAAGGGAAAAATACTATTTTTTTTCTCTTTTCAAGGATGATGATTCATTTGTTGGAGTTTTTTCTTTTTTGTTACTGCAGTCCAATTTTGAAATTGTTTAACTGGATATGATTAAAGTGTCCAGTTTAATAATTTTGGGAGCTAGAGTACGTATTTTTTTATTACTCTTTCATTTGTTCATGATGTACTTTTGCAGGTGTTGAAGTATGTGGAAGGGCTATGTTGGGCCATGCGATACTATTACCAAGGCGTTTGCTCTTGGCTATGGTCTGTAAAATTTCAAGAGTGCCCCTGCTTTCATTAGCAATTATTTAGCTAACTCTGATTGTAATATTTATTCCTCAACATTAGAAAAGGGAGGAATACTTGTTTGGTCTACATTCCAGTGATTTTTTCTCCTTGATTATTGAGCCTTACATATTGTAGGTCTTCTTTTTTGATCAATTATAATGGCTTGTTGATTGTCTTTGGTCATCTAAGAGCACTGCCATTTTTTGATTTATACAAGGTTGATGAGAAATAATAGTTATGTATCAGAAAGAAAAATCCTCTACTTATTATATCCTCAGTTCCTCACAACAATCTTTAATCACCCTTTTATCTAAAGTTACTTAACTGTTTAATCGGAACCATATCCAGATCATCTTTAGATATTCTAAAGACATCATGTTTATATTAGTTTGATAATCAAAATAAGGCGAACCCTTAATATATACACACTAGGCAATTTGTTTATTGATGTATTATGTCTAGACATTGGTTTACGAGATGTGAATCTTCGCTGAATTTTCTTGTGTTATTATTGGCATTGCATATTAGCATATGAGGTTTATTTGTCTTTGCGTTGTTCTATTTTTAATAATATTTGACTTTTGTTGCAGGGGAACTTTTTCCCATTCTTGAGAAACCATTTCAATGTAGTAAATCATACACTTTATTGGTCACCATGTGTGCATGCTTGATTGAAATCTCCAAACCAATTATCAGTCTTTAGGTCTGCTTCTAACAGTCTACAGGCCCATGTATAATTCTGGATACAGGCAGGGATGTGGAGAATATGGATGCGACTTGCCTTTTATATGTAGGGCAGTGATTTCATGCGAGGGTTTTATAGTAATATAATGAAATAATATTGAATATCTATGTTATAGCTATTTGTTTAACAGTTTGACCCCAATTTTTAAATATGTATTTTTTTTATTCCAATGAATAATCACAAAAAAGCAAAATTTAAAAACACAACTTAGAAATTATTTTTTTAGCCCAATTAATATAGACCGTCCATTTTAGTGAGATTCTTAGATCTAGGCTTTGAAGGATATCCTTTCCGAATTTTTTACATAGCTTTATTATCATTAGATTAACAATGTTAAAAAGAAAAAAAAAATTGATTTTGAATTCATTAAGGCCTAGATCTTGAAATTCACCAAATGGATGGTCTAGATTTATTATTGTAGGGGACTCATTTTGATCATATTTAGGGTGCAAATTGAATTTTATTTTATTTTTGGATTGATTTTTGGGATGAAGAGCATTGGTTTTTAGAATTGTGGCTCATTATATTACAATTACATAGTGACATGATATCGTTCCCCATGCATGCGCGCACGCGCATGCACACACACATAAATATATGCGTCCCACACATCGAGAACCATATAATAATATAATCAAGTCATTTTATAGTTACACGTATTCTAGCATGATCCAGTTGGGAATGTATACAATAAGATCATTTACCTTTGGTACAAAGTGGTCACAATTAATCTTGACCATTGTATGTGAAATTGGTTGGCTGCAACATACAAACAAGTCTCCCCCACCTGAAGTTCAACGCGCTCGTCGGACACTTGTCTTTCATTGAGTCCCCATAAAACCTAGCTTTTGGCAAGGCCCATGCTCACACAAAGCCTCTTCTCGGTCCACATGGCCAGGTCCTTCGCTACCACCTAGTCCGCTGTTTGTTCACTCGGCCAGTACGAACTGCTACAACCAAGTAACTCGCCCTTTCGTTTGGCCAGGTCCATTGCTGCCACCAAACTTTCGCTTGCTTGGCTAGGTCCATAGCTGCCACCAAGACTTCATTTATGCACATGGTCAGGTCTTTCGCTGCCACCATGTGCAAGGGTGTATGGCCAGTTCCAATGCTGCCACTACGACCCATGTTACCTCCTGCGACATTAAGAGGACAGCTTCTGTCCAGATTTACCGCAAGTCGACCAATACCTAGGTACTCATGCCGGTTGCCGAATCTCCTCTTCTTGGCACCATTAGGCTGATCACGCCTCCCACTAGCTTAAGATGCCATACCCACCGATGAATGGGAGGGCACTTCCCACCGAATTGATGAGTCGGAGGATGCCTCCCTCTGAACCACTCTTCTCACACACGGGACTCTCTTGATGACTCGACCTGAGTCACCACTTGACTCCTCTGAGTCAGTGCACGGCCTAGCCTCTTTCCAAGCTGGTGCCTTGGTCGATTGCAACTGCATTGCATTCACTGAACTCAATGAACCCAGCTGCACCAGGTTGTCCTTGTTCCCTCGTACGAGGTTCACCGCATTGAGGGCCTGCTTTTGCTGACAGTCCCTTGCTAGGTGGTTGCCCCCACATTTGAAACAGCCTGAGAAGCCAGTTCGGGGTGCCACTTTCTCTTTGCTGCTCCCTTCTCAGGTCTCGTTCCATTTTGGTGCACCATCCTCTTGCCATTCACTCTCAATGGCCCACCTCGCGGTTTGACTCCACCGTTTCACGAATGCTAAGATCCGCTGGGTCCTCAGCTGCAGCCCTAGCAGTTGGCAAGTCCTGCACGCCTTGCCTCCTCAACTCGGTTTGGGCCCAGCTCTACAACCTAGACACAGTTGAACAATCAATCCTCCTCGGACATCGATTATATGTCGAGCATTAGTGATGCGAACCTGTTTACGTATTCGCGCATCAATCCTGTCTGCCGAAGCTTTTGCAAAGCTTCGCGTGCCACCCAGGCAGCATTGTCGGGCAAGAATTGATCCTTCAGTTCACCCTTCAAGGTCTCCCAAGAGATTACCTTGGGCCTTGAAGTATTCGCCACCCGCATTCTCCACCAAAGCTTCGCATCTCTGGCGCGGTACATAGTGCAAATCCCCATGCGATCGTTCTCATGGGCATGAGCAGCCTCAAAGTATTGCTCCATGTCCCATATGAAGTTCTCCACTACCTTGGAGTCTCGCTGACCTTCTAACACTCGTGGCTCCGGCACTTTCACAGAACGAGAGTCCATCCCACCACTAGTGCTCCCCAAGGCCCTCTTGAGTAGCACAACTTTGCCTGATGCACTAAGGGGTTATGCGACCCTTAGCCAGCAAGGCACTACAGCCTTGCTAGGTAATTTTCTTGAACTTTATGATACACCCAAGCTATCAGATTTCACATCGCATGGTTATAAGTGTTTGTGACCTTGTGCTAAAAGGTAAATGTTCTCATTGTATATAATTTCTATCCGGTATAAGTATTGGTGTTGCATTATCCAATACACACATACACAAACACACACACACACATACATAAGTATGTGTGTCCAACACATGGAGAACCATATAATAACACAGTCATGTCATTCTATATTTACAAGTACTCCAGCATTATCCAGTATAAGTATTTCTGTTTACACAATATGATATGGCCCTTAAATCATTTGCAAGCATCTGTACATCATAGCGGACTACCCATCTGATCATATCGAGCAAGTCCTCTATCACTCTCAAGCGGTTTGAAAATGGCATTTCAAATGCTGTCACTTGCAGTGCTACTTTTCCAACTTTACTGGTTTTATTCTGCATGTGCTTTTGTGTCTTTTTGAGTGGGCTATGCTCCGGTCAGTTTCTGATATAGGCCACCTGCCATGAATCTTAGTTGCTACTGAGAGTCTTAATTCTGGTGAACCTTGGTTCCTCTTTTACTGTGTGCTAATTAGGTTAAACATTTGGACTTATATTTCTGTGGATTTCATTGGAAAGGAAAACTTATACGTCTGCTCTCTGCTCTATGTATCAGGTTTTACCCATATCATTATGCTCCTTTAGCATCAGATCTTAAAAATTTAGCTGATCTTGAGATCACTTTTTTCATGGGAGAGCCATTCAAACCCTTTGATCAACTAATGGGGACACTTCCTGCTAAAAGGTTGTCGTACTCCTGTGTTTTAGATTTTCCCTTTCATGGTTATACAGTTAGGCTCTCAAGTTTAGTTCCCGTTAGTGCCATTTACTTTTCGAATCAGGTATATTTGTAAGCTGACATTTACCTTTTGTTTTTTATTTGTAGTGCTGATGCCCTACCTAAGTATTATAGGCTGATGATGACTGATCCAACATCGCCCATTAAGTGCTTTTACCCATCAGGTAGAAGTCAATCAAATTTCTCGAGAATTATGTGGCTAAATTTTATTTCAAGGTGTATGAGCTCTTTATTTCTTCTGTGAACAGATTTTGAGATCGATATGAACGGGAAAAGATTTTCATGGCAGGTACACTAATCTTGCTGGTACTTATTCTGTGTAGTAGGTAGTCTTTATTGATTTCCTTATTGATGTGTCTTTAGTACCGTTATGCTACCCAATTTTCTATTACTTACGATTCTTTTGTTGACTGCAGGGTATAGCAAAACTGCCATTTATTGACGAGGTTCTACTGTGTGCTGAGACTAGAAAGCTTGAATGCACTCTTACGGTGTGGTTTTGGAAACTCTCTGTTCATTACCATCTTTTCTTTGCATTTAGCTTTTTCTGATGCTGAATTATGCTGTATAATTTTGTTCCTCCAGGAAGAAGAAAGAATTCGGAATAGCATAATGTACGACTTGCTTTTTGTTTCTCATCTTCATCCACTGGCTGTACAAATAAGTCCGCTATATTATATGCTTTATCATGTACCCATCGGAGCAAGACCTGCTTATCAGATTGATCCCAATTACAGGTTTGCAAACCATCTTGCTTTTATTTGAGCTTTGCAAGTTCTCTCTCTCTCTCTCTTTTGAAATGGTATTTGAGCTATGCGAGTTGGTCCTGATTTTACCGAAGCTGTTGTTGTTTGGCCATAGGCAAAATTGAAATGGCCATTACTATCAAAGAAAAAAAAAGAAAAACTGAAATGGCCATAGCCACTGTCATCTATACATTTACATCCTGAATTTTCACTGATTTTATGGTGGTCTGAGGGTTGATCATGAACACTTTGATATTGCAGTGGCGGAATGAATGGGTATCTCTGGTTGTGTGAGAGAAATGTCTTTAGAGAATTCATCGTTTCTCCAATTAAAGGTTTACGAAATGTGGAGCGCAATCAAGTCGTGTAAGTGCCTATGCCCATTATCCTAGAACAATTTGTTCCTTGAAGCGTTTGTCTCAGTTGTATTGCTCTCTACAGGAACGCGACATATTTCAGTCCTCCACCCCACAAACATATTCCAGAACCACCTGAAGGTGTAAGAATGCCAGAAAAGGTACCTAGCATTCTATAGATTTCAGCTCCTTGCTCTTATTCCATAAAGCATATTATAATCTCAGAGACTTTACCTGATCACTCATGGGAATCTGGGGCTCACCACATATACCTTCATGTGTGTGCACATGTGTGTGCATGTGAATCTCAGCATTTTGAGTTTCCTTTAGGGTCTTTTCCTTTGCTTTGTGTTTTCCTCTTGTACTGAGCCTTATTTGAGTAGCCAATTCTAATTCATGGTATATTTTTTGAAATTCGCAGTTTTTAACTCCACAAGACATCAAACCCTTTCCAGTGTTATGGCATGAAGACAACAGCAGTCGGCGTCAACAAGTTAGGGAAAGGTGCCTCCCCTTGAACTTCCTTACATGGTTAAATTATTCAGCGAGTGTTAGTGTTTATTTCTCTCTCTCTCTCTCTCTCGCTTCTCTCTAAGTAAAATTAGCAATTGGGCCAGGCCACAGGTGCCGAGGGCCATATCAGGTCCTCTTTTGGGAGAAGCGGTTCATCGACTTCTAAAGAATACATTACAAATAAGACCTAATGGGCCGAGAACAATTCGGCCTCAGTATAACAATGGCCCTGGGATTTTCGAGTCCCCATATAAAGCTCCTCTGCCCAATTTCCCTCACTACAAGCCAAGACTAGCAGGTCCCTTGGGTTATGAAAGGGGTTCCAACCGATACCCATCCCCTAATTATCGACCACATTATAGTAATCCTCAACATGCATCGTCTTGTAATCATATTAGTGCAGTTCCTGTGTCTAGTGCTCCCGAGTCTTCTGCCCAAGCCACAAGAGTACAAGAGAGCTTTAACAAAAGCACAGAATATGAAGGCATGGGTGAAGCCATACAAAGATTGACTATCGAAGATAATCGGCAGGGGCTATTTTCCCCACCAAATTCCACCAATTTTCCGAGGATGGGGGGTCCAGGATTCCGGCAAGATCGGCTGGACATTAGAGGTGGCGCCTCACCGCCTTTGCCTCCTGCTAAGTGGATCCAGCCAAGTGGTGGCAATGTGGGGGATAAGTAATATAATGAGAATAAGCAGGTGAAACAGGTTTATCAGGTTAAGACTCAGGCTCGTGAGAATCTGCATCCTGATTCTGGCAGCTAGAGGTGACTTAATCTGCAATTAACTGGGATTTGAGTCTAATCTGCCCGATTCTCGCTGCTAGATGTGTAGTTAAGTTGTAATTAAGTTGGAATTGAGCTCTCGCTCGCCCTTCAAAAAATCCATCTAATGCCTGCAGCTTGATGTGAGTTCCATGCAATTACCTGGTGGATGGTGCTGGATTTGAGGTGTCTTCCTCTCCTACCTGTGGGTTTCCAGGGTGTAGCCTGTGTGCTCTAAACTTGATGCGTCCTCCAAACTTCTAGAAAGAAAGCAATTGTGTGTGTAGTTTTTTTAATTTTTTTTTTCATTTTTATTTTGTTTTTATTTTATTTTATTTTTTTAATAGATGTATTTTGCGTTCGCATCTTGTGGTTTCTCCTTATTCAGTGAAATTTAGTTAACAAAGATTAGAGAACCAAGGTGAGGAGGGAGTGTTTGCGGTATTTAAAAAATGGATTGGTGGGGTGGGTCACTCCCTGATTTTGAAACTTGGATTGCGGTATTTAAAAAATGGATTGGTGGGGTGGGTCACTCCCTGATTTTGATTTGGATCAGTAATCTAAATCGGGCTAATCTGCCAAAAAACAGAAAAAGATTAATACAATAGTAGAATTGGGAGGGGTGGGGTCTGGAATGCCCACTCACTAATCTCACTCTAGATTGGCGATTCCTGATTTCGATCGTAAGTTAAGTTTTGAAACATGGGGAAGAAGTGAAAAAGAAAGAGTTGAGAAGTAGTGTTCAAATGCTTAGAGCTTATAATGTGGTATCGCGTCACTCTCTACATTTATTCCCTGGGGCCAAAAGACTAGAGAAAATGAGTGATGAGGATGTCTTGTCTAAAATTTTGAGATCCATTTTTAATCTAACGAAGGAGGATCCGTGATCTTATCCTCTTAGATTAGCAAACTGTCTTATACTTAAATTAGGAAACTCTGTAAAGTTGAGAAATTCTTGTTAGTGTTTTTTAAGGTATTTAATTGTAACGAGAGAGTACCTGGTGTTTTAAGGCTCGAGTGAATTGGCCCTTCATGGGAACAACAAAAAATGAGAAAAAAAATAGTAATAAATAATAATAATAATAATAATAATAATAATATTTGACCAGTGGCCACTTAGTGGCTTAGGGTGGAAAACAAACGAACCTTAATATCATATTATCTATTATGTCTTGTACTATAAATGTGATTTATTCTTTAGGAGAAGTTTGTCTTGAGGTTGAGAACCATCAAATCGATACCTTGATATCGACCTTGATATGTATAAATATGAAAAAATGATTGGAAGTCCTAAAAATAGTGTCTTTTGTAACATGTTATTTGGATATTTCAACATTAGTGTTTGTGGACTTGATTGGCCTACACAATTATTGGAGCTTTTACATTTTATAATTAGGGGCTAAAATAGTTTTTTAGGCCATCATAAACATTTCAAACACAGGGAACTGTATCTTGCATAGTCATTCAAACAGGACTGATCCGGCGGTCCAATTGGCAAAATCGGTGATGGACCCATGCGTAGTCCAGCATGAGCACTAAGCCATAATTTCTTGAGAACTTGTCAATACCAGTGGTTGACCGGTTTGATCATCAGTTTTGCCGATTCTCTTGCATTGGCCAGCCCAATCATTTCCTATTCTTTGATAATTCTGATTGCACACAATATTTTATTTAAAAAATGTATGTTAAGAGTTAGGCAAAAATCGTCCCCCTAAATGGTTAAAAGGAAAATTTTCATACCATTTTGGCACGCATTCTTTACTCTGCATTTTTTTCTTTTTGCTTAAAGATTTTCTTTCCCCCTCTTTGGAATTCCTTGTTTTGGCTCTCTACAATGGGGACAAAGGCGCACGTAGTTCTTCTTTGCTGCCGCAGTTTAACTTTATAAACAAAAGAATGATAAATCTAACAAGGAGAAGGTAAGCCTTGTAAACGCGTTCTACAACATGAACAAAAAATTTATCATATCAATTACGGAAAAGTGTGACGCTTCAAAGAACATAGATTTGCCTCAGTCATGGAACAAGAAAAGTAATCATCAAGCAACTTTTGTCATCTCATTAATGTACACAGCGATGAATCAATTTTGAAATTGAAAACTTCTCCGACACCAACTTGGCACAGTTTTCATTATAAGTTGCATATCTTACTGAAATGGGGAAAGGAGACCAAATCTCATGTCCACCATTGCATGCACTATCGATCGCCGGATAGAGATATCAGGAGCGAGTTAATACTCCTTTGGAACTGCATTTATAAGAGAAGAAAATGAGCTTCAATCAAAATAAAGAAAAAAAAACAAAACAAAATCGTGTACTAGTTCACACGATCATGATTAACTCTATAATTTCAAATAAGGAAAGGAACTAGAGAGAGAAGACAAAGTAGACATCAGATTAAAATTAGGAGGAGATTTGAGGTAAACTTACCTAGGAATGCTTCCTTGCCGACGAACATCATAATCTGTGGCCTGCCGGAGGGCTCGTGCAAAGGCCTTAAAAGTTGCCTCAATTATATGGTGCGAGTTTTTCCCAGCAAGCTGTTTAAATCATGAAGTAGAGATAAAATACTGCACTCCCTACATAAATAGAGAAAGACGTAGATATACACCTCTTGTTATACTTCCACTTTCACTTCGTTATGTGTCTTAAATAAAAAGGGGCAAACCTAGGGCACGCAGTTACTGAAAGTTAGCTTTAAACTAATGAAGAGGAGTGGTACTTTGCTAAGTGGTATCTTAAGCATCACTCAATTTTGTAGATATTCCACAAAAGCTTCTTTCCCAATGCAATGAATTTGAAAAATTGTAGAGGAAACAAAGGTGTAACTTAGCTTTAAACCAATGATGCAATTGAATGATATTGGCTTGGTGGTACCTTGAGCATCACTTATTTTGTTAATAGTCAACAATCGCTTCTTTTTTGATGCAATGAATTCGAAAAATTGTACAGGAATCGAAAGCACAGACTCGACCTGCCGTATGTGAAGAGTCATCCCAGATGTATTGGCCATTGACTGAAAGAAGTGCTCCACCAGCTATACAGGCCAAAATATGTTAAGAAGTTAAACATCATACTTCAAAACCTTGACCCGATTATCTCATTAAAATTTTTATTTCTTGAAGTCATTTTCAGGTATTTAACAATTAAAATATCATGTTAAGTCAAGTTTACAAAATAGTAAAGACAACTACTTAAAAAATGGCACCACGTAGGCACATATAAACACATTCGTAGCGGAAAACCCCTGAAAGTCTCCGACTTTCTGCATGTAGCTTTAACCATATCTGTCAAAGACATGAATGTAATGCTGCTCAATCATAAGTTGCATTACACAGTAACAACGAGAGAAATTGTGTGGATCTTCAAAATCTACGATTAGAACATGTTGGCATTCATTCATCATTTGGATTTTTTGAAGTTTAATGTTACAACTTGTTGGCATTAGTTGGAAGGTCTATAATTAAAGAGCAGAATGCCATTACATAAGATTGGAACCTCCTAAAGCAATCCTATTTGCAACAGACAAAAATGAAGCACTAGAGAACTTGATTTCTTCATACCAGAGAATTAACACAACAGCATCAACTTACATCCACTAAATCATGCCAATTTTCGAAGCCCCATTGACTTTACCTAGTAAGGCTAAAGATTGGAAGTTTGTTTCTTCCAGAAAAGATTTGTTGCAATACACAACTTTTTTGACTGGCGACTGATCTTTCAAACTAGCCAGCTAGAGAAATCCATCTTCAGTTTCTCTTTCTATTTTATAGATAAAAATCCATGTTCAATTTCTAAGAATATTTTTATCTACTAGCCCACTAATGCTCCAACATATGATATAGAAACACTGCAACTCCACTAACCAGCATTTCAAAAAAATATCTCTAATTACAAGCTCCCATGTTCACAAATCAGGGCTGTCCAAAAATTGAATTAAGACTATTGATATTCACAAGAAATGAAAGGTCACCATAGATAGTTGAATTACTTCTTAGAATGATTCTCTGTTCAACAAATTCAAAAAGTAAACAAAGAATAGAAGGCCATGTTTGATAGCTACAATTTGATACTCTTTCTGATATCAGTGCTGGACAAATATTGCTTCCACATAGCAGCCCTCAATTCAAATGAAAATTAGAACTTGTATATACAGAACACAAAACAATTCAAATGCAATACCTGAGTGTCATATGTCCCAACTCTTTCTGTAGGGATGGATAAATCATAACTCAAGTGAGGTCTCCCTGACAAATCCTATCTCATGAAAAGAAAATTAATGAGAACAGAAAGGAACCAAATCATGAAAAGAAATGACAAACATGGTAAATTAAAAACACCCATAACTTTTTCATTACAGACGCCCATTGCGCCAAAGCAAACTACTAGAGTAAAAGCATAGGAATAAGCCGCTGAACAAGAACATGGAGTGATGCCACTGAATGGTAACAATAACATGGCCCAAAAAGATAGTGAAGAAATATTAATAAATAATATATTCAATGAAAGACACCAACGGCATTTCCAGTTATTTTACGCAAAAGAAGGTTCTTGTAATGGATCTCACTATACTTAGTGTATGTTGTTCTAGATGTTGATGTCAAGGCAAGCCTATGGTACTATAGCAAAACAATGCTTTGTGTTCCTCATTAGGTCTGCAATCTCACACTGACTTATCAAGGTCATCATGCCACTTACATATGATGAGCCATATAACATACTTTGTACTTTTTATTTAGCCATTCATATAAGTTGACATAGAAGTCAAGGACTCGGAAAGCCCTCTATTACTAAACAGATTGCAAAACAAGAATGGATCAGCGTATTTGGTTTTTTAGGATAAACGTCAAGGATTCGAACCTTCGACGTCGCTCACCGAAACTGGGACGCCTACCACTAAGCTGAAGCCTAAGGGACAAAAATCCACAGAGAACAAATTAACAATTTTCGCGCTATTTGATTTGCTTCCCTTTGTCTATGGAATATTATTATATGCATTATATAAATAGAAAATGTGATCGCTAAAGATAAGGGGCAATGTGGCATCCTATAGAGATTGGAATAGTTCAAATTATTGTAGACTAATATCACTTTTGGATGACACCTGAGGAAAAGAAAACATAAAAAAAGCATGTTGCCGACATGATCTTGGCATAAAAGTTGAAGGAGAATCCAAATTTAAATTGTAATCCATATTTCACATCTCACCAATGCTACATGAACAAGAGCTTCATCAAGGGGAGCTGAGAAGTCTCCAAAACGATTTATTCCTTGTCGATCTCCAAGGGCTTGAAGCAGTGTCTGCACGACTCAGATAAATAAAAATTAACCCTTTCTGACACCTCTATGTTCTCGCTAAACAAACACTACATGGTTGCATAAAATACTGACATAAAGAAACTATAGAAACTATAAATAAATTAATGGGTATACAGATAAAGATGTACTGTTCCAATGGCAAGAGCCACATCTTCATTTGTATGATGATCATCAATGTGGATGTCTCCCTGAGCCTTGACGCACACATCAAATAGTCCATGTGATGCTAGTTGCTGCACATGCAATGTGGCCAATAGCCATTACTGAAGTTAATAAGAAGTTCGATAATTTGTGCTATATAATAATCCAATGGACTGTTGAGAAACCATAATTCACTGGGACACCACTGCCCATTGATATGATGAATGGTGATGGGGAGAGAGTAAATGAAGCCATATTCCAAGGGCTAAACTAAAATTTTGAATTAGAATGAGTAGCAAAATACTTACATCCAGCATATGATTAAGGAACGGGATACCAGTATTGTTATCTGCAACCCCTGATCCATCCAAATTTATTTTCACATGCACATTTGTTTCCTTTGTCACCCTCCTAACCTCTCCAATTCGAGCTGCATCATTTCAAATTTAATCGTGCTGAAAATACTCCAAAATAGGATAATGATTTTACTTCCTCAAACTTTCTGTTTGATTAGTGTGATATGATAGGGAAATAGGGAAGGTCCAATCTAATGAAAAGAAAGAAGAAACAGCACATGAATTTCCTTATCCCTTCCGAACTCATAATCCTGATTGAATATAATCCATGGGAGCCACTAATTGCTCACTATTTCCCAAATATAAGTCATTAAACAGCCATATAGAATTAGCAGCGAGCCTAGTAGCAGTAGACCAGCAGTGATGTTGCATACAAATGTATCCCATGAACTGTAAAAACTTCAAAAAATTCGCACTCTAAAACTAGTATGTCTACTGAGACCTGAATTTATGCCCAAACTAATTGAGAACCAGTATGTTGGATCCCTGATATGGCCACAAAAGTTATTAAAAGAAATAAATGCAGTGATATGTAACAGTGACATTAAAATACACATATTAACAATTTCCACAACTTCAACAGAGCCATTGAAAAGGGAAAAGAAAACAGAGAAACAGGCCACAAATCCAACTCAAAATCAATCGGAATCCCACAATCACATATGCAATTACAACCATCTAAAACTGCTAAGCCATCGGGAGCTAGTCTTGTGAAATTTCAAACCAAAATTAAGAGAAAACATTACAATATAGAAGATGATTTTTAGTACAACCCAAATGGAAACTTCCATAAAAATGAGCACTTAGTACCAAAGACTCAATTTTTTTCACAGACACTCATAAAACATCAATAATATGAAAACCCAACAAAAATAAATGAATAAAACCTTACAGGCTTTGGGGCTCATGATAGGAGAGCCATTGTCCCTAGCTTCAGTAGCAGCACAACAAATGAATCTGAACGCCTGCTTCTGCATGGACTTACCAGAAAAACACAATTGGGTATGGTTAAATAACGATTTTTTAATAAAGAGAGGGGAGTTCAGGTTGATTTTTGGAGTATAAATGGGATTTTTGAGATGGGTATTCAACGAAGCCATGCGAGAGTGCGATGAGTGAGAAACCAGAGCGAGTTTTCCAAACCTTCTCAAGGGTTGAAATTTGATGCATTAATCGTCGATAAATCGCCAGCTCAAATGACCAAAATACCATTGACCGTATGACAGTATCAACTTGATGCATTTAGTTCCGTATCAGTATAAATATACATGCAGAGCATCTAAACAATCAAATTAGAGCCGACATCAAAAATTTCACTAGAGGTCGTTTCGGTGCTCAAATATCTTCAAATCGATCATTTTGACATTAAGATGCGAAATTAGAAAAAAAAGATTTTAAGTTTTAAAAATAGTACATTTTGTAACATATTTTTTGGACCGTCAATTTCAAGATTTTTAAGTTTTTATAGATCTGTTCGATCTATACTATTTTTTGAAACTTTAAATTTTATAATTAAATATAAAAAATATATTTTAAAGCTATCACAAAGATTTTCAGTATCGAAACCATATTTCTTGATACTATTTGAAAGTGTGCTTTACTCTGATTGTTTAGAGCCTCGGCTCTATACAAACTGTACCCATTAATTAATTCACATGTTTTTTCATATTCAAATTGCTAACTGCCTTTAATATCGCCTAATTTTTAACATAAGGAGAAAATTTTAACACCATGATAATTATTGCAATGAATTGATTTTACATGGATCTTATCAAAGTTATTATGTAAAACTTACGATATTATATATTTGCCGGATTATTTATTTATTTCACAAGAAGGCATAATCATCCCTAGCCATTAAATGTGAATTTTGATTGTATGGAATATGTCGCAAAGCTCGAAAGAAATTCTTTTGGACCTTAATGTACGTTATTTTACATTTAATAGCTAAAGGTGATTGTAACCTCCTTATATCAAAAGAAAAAATTTAAATAAGGTTGCAACCTTAAAATGTAGAACTAAAGTTGCACATAAAAAATCCATCATAAAAGATTGTTTAGATATTGGAAAACTCTCTAATTGATCATTTCAACATTGAGATGTATGAATATGAAAAGAAAAAAAGATTTCGAGTCTGCAAAATAGGGTATCTTGCAACACATTATTCGGACCATCTACTTTCAAGATTTTAATGTGTAGATAGATCTACTTGATTTGAATCATTTTTAGAGTTCAAAATTTTATAATTAGAGATGAAAACATATTCTTAAGCTATCCTAACTTTGATACCAAAATTACATTTATGATAAAATTTAGAGGTGCGTCTCAATTGGATTGTTTAAAGTTGCAACCTTATGCAAACCACACCCTATATAAAAAATAAGTGGTTTAATAATATACAATTATACACTATACCAAAACTTATTGGGTGAAAGATGAAACAAATTCATCAAAAACAGTTATCTCAGAGCTTTGATAATTTCCCTTGTGTTATATACATGGAAAATGATCACCATGTCTTATTTATGCCAAAATTTCAATATCACCGATGTCTTTGTTTTCCTCCACAATTTTATTAACCCAAACATAGTTTATAAACTGTGCATAACTGCAAATCACCATGTCCATATCATGCAGAAAACTCACAAAATCATGCACTATTATTTCTTAAAATATAGATAAAAGATCAAGCATAAGGTTCCCAGTATACAAGCATTCATATACATATAGAATTTGAATTTCCTCATTATACTTGGACTGTGACGTCCAGCTTCCATGGCCAACCCTTGCTGTGTTCTAGTCCTTGAAGAAAAGAAAACTGCGAGCACAGCCACCCGAAATCGCCTGTACGACCCACCTTGGTGCTGGTTATCTGAGCTGTGTGTTGAATTTAAGCCTCTTGAAGCCCAGGCGGCGACGCAGGTGAAGAATGGAATTGCATATGAATGGAAGCAGTCCTGTGTATTTATCCATGGCCTTAGTAGACATAGAAACAAATGGACTAATGGTGTTGTGGGTTCTTGGTATGGTGAGGCTAGGTTTTTATGGGAAGTTTCTGGGGGGTAGCAAATAGACTAATGGTGTTGTGGGTTCTTGGTATGGTGAGGCCAGGTTTTTATGGGAAGTTTATGGGGGGTAGCTTGTGTAAGAGAAGGCCACTTCATGAGTCTAGTAGACAACGGAGGGATGGAGCCACCAATGGGGGGGGGGGGGGGGTTTGCACGTTTTATCTAAGTGCTGATCACGAAGTAGAGAATCTAGGATAATCAGATCTTTGTTTACGTAGAAGAAATTTTTTTTTTTTTAGAATGTAGATTACATGTAGTTTATTCATGTGACCTTGACTAAGATATCCTCCAAAACTACAATAATGGGCACTTGGAATAAACCAACTCTAGAAGCAGCCTCTTTTGAACAAAACCCTAGAAACCTATTTGTGAGAAAACTTTACAGATGGCACTACCCACATTTACTCATGACCACTATTCCCAGCTATTCACTATTCCCAGCCGGCCATTCGATTTGAATGAACAGTTGGGATAACTTCAAGGGTTATATCAAAAGTTTGTTCTCAATGTGGAGTAGATTTGATGGCTTAGAATATTTCAAATTTTTTTGGGTATAGGAGTTGGGTTGTATTAGGTAGACAACCAACATAAAACTTTGCCACATCTTATTGTGAATCTTGAACCTATGTTATATTTGGTTTTAGTGAAGGTATGGCTTTTGATAGAGAATAATATAGGAATATGATTCATGTATCCGACTTTAAATAATTAGAATAAAGTTTGGATGATGATGATGATCAAAATATATTTTATATTTTTATTTTATAAATCATTTTATAGTCAGCAAGCACACCTCTTATAAGAGGTGCACCTGGTAAATACTAAAAGATGTTAATCATATTGTTGCTTTTATTTTTTTAGATGCGCCCGTTAATAAGGTGATGGAACGCCCAAAACTCCATGCAATATATATATATAACCCGATTTGTATGAGCCAAGCCTGCATATATAGAAATACGAGCCTGTTAATAAAATCTATTTTTGAGATGGATTTTAAGACTTAATTTTTGAAGACATATAATCTCTAATATGGAGATCATGAATATGAAAAAATAAATAAAATTTTAAAACTAAAAATAATAATTCTAATAAAAAAACATTTGGACCGTTAGTTTCCATTATTTTTAGATGAAACACCTACTTGCATCCATCTTTAAGATTGATGCTTTACACTTTCTGAACCACATATGTAGAAACGCGGTACCGCCCGCATGAAAAAATTTTCCATATAAATAAGCTAGAGCTATTCCCAACGGACCATTCATACATGCCTGTGATCCCTAACTCTGTATCCGTCTTTCCATTCATATTCCAATGTCATTCATGCCTGTGATCCCTAACTCTGTATCCGTCTTTCCATTCATATTCCAATGCCATTCATGCCTGTGATCCCTAACTCTGTATCCATCTTTCCATTCATATTCCAATGTCATTCAAGTTAGTAACCAGACCTTCATGCCAGCATGGACACAGTGTGTGAATAAGAAATTAGCAACTTCTATGGAATCCATTTCTGACCAAAATACTTTCGGTGTGGATGATCTCATTAACTGACATAAATCCCGACCAAGTTCCAGTAGTAGAACTGCTTTTTCGCCTCCACCCATTGAAGAGTGAAAACAGCCACCTTGGTCCGCTCCTATATTCATAGGTGACAGACTTTAGGAACCCTGCTTGTCAAAAAACTCCTCCAAAATGCCGCTAATGTTTTGAATTAATAACACTATTTCTTCATTAAACTTATTCACATGTCCAAACGGACTCATAGAATACTGTGAAACCCCAAAGAACATCTACAATCAATAATCAATGTGAACCTGCCACCAACTAATAACACCAACCACCAACTCTCTTTCTTCAGAAAACTTATCGTATGGGCAATTGGATAACCAAGTACTTAGAAAGAAGCTTCTCACAAAAAATATAAAATTCACACACAAATGATTGTGTTACATCTTTTTGTACAGGGTCACATGCCTGAAAATTTGGATATCTTGTGACCCTCCGAAGCCCTAACATCACTGAAGAGTTTCAGTCCTCTCAATAATGTATGCTTTTCCACAAGAACAAATAAAATGACAAGAAATGTCTCTTCACATGAAAAAAAATGAACCAACTGTGCAAAAGAGGGTCGCCACACACTGGCATTAACAAGGAAAGAGCGACACTGTTAAAGCTTCCTAGCTTGGTTGGATCCACTTCCATGTCGGAATATCCTCACCGAGTCCTTTAAAGGAAACACATCTGCAATCATTCGCTTAGGACACTTCAACCATAATTGTTACATTTCTCCATTTTCCTTCTGGGCAACTCGTGCGCTTGGTGAAGGCACTCCCTTCAACAAAAACTGCTTTTGAAATGATTCAGGGAGGATGGCCCGAAACCCATATGCTATACATAAGTCTGTTACATTTCTCCCTTTTCCTTCTTCAACTAAATGGGCCCTCCCTTCAACAAAGACTGCTTTTGAAATGATTCAAGGAGGATGGCCCGTAACCCATATGCTATACATAAGTCTGTTACATTTCTCCATTTTCCTTCTTCAACTAAATGGGCAGCTGGTGCGCTTGGTAAAGGCCCCTTCCCTTCAACAAAAGCCGCTTTTGAAACGATTAAGGGAGGATGGCCTGAAACCCATATGTTGTACATAAGAACCGTTTTTGAAATGATTCAGGGAGGATGGCCTGAAACCCATATGCTGTACATAAGAACCGCTTTTGAAATGATTCAGGGAGGATGGCCCGAAACCCACCCATATGCTATACATAAGTCCAAGTTGGGCTTTTCTTCTTCTTTTTCTTTCCATTGGTGTCCAAATTGGGCACTTGAAAACATGCATAATACAAAAAACCACAAGCCTTACCAATAGTCCCCACAAGAGCAAGACCCCTGCACAAATCTATGAAACCTTGCCCTGTCCCTCACAACTATCTCCCTCCCATAAATCTTAGACACAAGCTTGGCCACCCCATGGCAATCCCCACATATCCTAAGGTTCTTTATCACATGAATTGGGGAGCCCACCTCAATGCTGATAAGCCCGTAGGCAATTGCCAGCTTCTCACTATGATACCCCAAAGCGTTCTCCTTGTCCTCCTCATCGATATCATGAAGCACAAAACTAGTTTGTGCAACATACCCATTAAGCCGAAGCTTCCTATTCATCTCATCCACCTTAGAATAGATCTCTCTCCACCGTGGGTGACCCCTGTCTCCCATCACAAACCTATGGATGGATCCCTTGGCCTCTATAAAACTAAAGCCAGGCACCTTTCTAGAGTTGCAGGTTTTCATAACCTCCCTCACACGAACAACATCAGCCCATTGAGAATGCATAGCATAAACATTGGACATAAGCACAAAGTCCCCACTGTGGGTGGAACCAATCTCACCAAGCTTAACCATGGCCCTCTCAGCCAACCCCACGTGGCCATGAACATTACAGGCTGCCAATAAAGTCTCCCATATCATAGCATCCGGCTCAATGGGCATCGACAAAACAAGGTTATAGGCCTCATCGAGCCTTCCTGCTCGACCTAGGAGGTCAACAACGCACCCATAGTGCTTCACATTAGGCCTCACCCCATGTTCTCTTTCCATTGTGTCGAAAAGCCGAAGCCCCTCATCTATCAACCTTGAGTGATTACACCCACAAAGGACAGCCACCATTGTCACTGAATCAGGCCTTACTCCCTCACACAACATAGAGTCAAACAAGCCCAGCACCTCTCTTCCATGGCCATGCATGGCCATTCCCATAATCACAGTATTCCAAGACACCAAACACCTATGAGTCATTCCGTGAAACACTTGGCGCATCAACTCAACACACCCACACTTCGCATACATGTCCATGAGAGCATTACACACCACCACATGGTCATGCATCTTAGCCACCAATACAAAAGCATGGGCCATACAGCCAAGGCGATTGGACCCAAGCTGCGCACAAGCAGACACCACCCCAATGACGGTGCCCTCATCAGGGCTTAGCCCTGCACAACGCATGGTCCTAAACAGGCTCAGCGCACGCATGGCCTCGCCACCAAGCACATGGCCCGAAATGAGCACGTTATAAGCAACAGTATCTGTTCGAGGCATTTCATAGAACACTTTGCACGCATACGCCAAATCATTGGTTTTTGCATAGAAGTCCATTAGGGTAGTGAGGAGGAGGGGGTCAGCCAGGTGGCCGAGAAGAACTACTTGGGCATGGAGCTGGTGGCCCTCCCGCCCAGCTAGGGCGCGTGCACAGGCCTTGAGGGCAAGTGAACAGGAGACGGCGTCTGGTGTGGAGAGTTTGGTTTTGAAGAGAAAGACGGCTTGGAGGGGATTGGGGCTTAGGGCTAGGGCTTGGAGGGTGGCATTGATGGAGGGGAGGTTAATGGGGATTCTAGAGATATGGGGGACTCGTCTGGTGAGGTGATGGGCTAGGTGGTGCATGGTGGGGAGAGAGGGGATCATGAGAGGGTGGCGTGAGGTTGAGAGTCTACATTTTGGTGGCCAACTAGAGAGAGAGGTACGCGGAGAAACTAAACACAAGCAACTTAAAATCACAAAATAGAAGCAAATTAAGCTAAGAAAGGTAAGAGAAGCAAAAATAGAAGCAACCTATTCCAATCTCTACCTACCTGTAACAAGCAGCTTCCTAATGCAACCTTATCACTGCCTCTCTCTCTCTCTCTCTCTCTCTCTCTCTCTCTCACAGTGCATCACAGCATCAGATCCCTTCCATAGGATGGAAACACTACTACAAATTTGCATACACAATGCTGAAATATTCACCAAGAGCACATCCATTGTACACAAATTACATCTTTTCTAAATCTGTTAAAGGTTGTCTGAATGCAGCCAATGGTATAGTATACCTTGAAGCACCCATTTTACAGTTGGGGGCGAATGTGATCTTTATGTACACAGGATAAACGGTAGTGTCATATACTTTTATCCGGTGTACATAACGCAGCTTCCAATTAAATGGTACATGCACATAGATTTACATATCCATGAACATAAATAGCACCTGGCATGCATGTGGATTGTAATAACCTTAGTCAAATAGCATTTTTATTCATATTTTCATGTTCCATGTTCCTGCAGTCTTTATGTACAGGATCCACATCTAAATTTGACTCTAAACCTCATCCCACACTGTACATCTGCATTAGAAGAAAAAAAAATCCACCATGAAACACCCTATGAACTAAATTCATCCCTGTACACTGAAACATAATATAAATAGACGAATGGGACATTAAAACAAAGCTTCTTCATCTCTGTTTCATGACCCATTAATCAATTTAGAGCATATTTTTACACATTTTGAGCAATCCAAGAATACCATGGACCATGAACCCCTCGAGAAACTGAACACATAACAGAAAGCACCTCCACAATCTCGGCCAATTGCTTGACTAAGAGCCCAGCTCCAATCCTCTTAAGGGCCATTTCGGCCATTGCTTCCCCACATGGACCTCCACCGACAAGAATGAGTGCTCTTGATGCAGTATAAACTGCTTGAGAAACCCTAGAAAACACAGGATCATCAGGGAGTAAGCTCTTAGCCAACAAGCGCGCCATCAACTCTTTTTTGGCAAGCCTCTCGCCTTCTTCACTGGAGTTAACACTCATGAGAAGCTCTGCAATCTCCATTACACCCACATTATCATCACTGTTCAAGAGCTCGGTGAGCCTCTTACATGCGTTGCAAACCACCTCCTCTATATTCATTTGAGAGGTTGGCTTCTTCAGAGTTAGGGTTTGCCGAAGAACCAACAAGCTGCAATGTCAGAAAATTCAAACCCCATATTAGAAAAGTGATATCTTTGCTAGATAAGAACCTAAATCATGAATAATTAATTTTGAACAATTAATTTTGAACGTTCAAGAAAAAAAGATTCGGATGAGTAATATTTTCTATTCACTAGCAACTATTCTAAACCGGTAAAATCACAATTGACTATTCTAAACCGGCAAAATCACAATTGACGATTAAAATCAGCAGATTTCTAAAGCAAAGAACTTGTTATCTGAATAACCAACCTCGTAGAAACGACAATAGCTTTCTGGATCTCACTCTGAACTCCCCTCAGCCTTAAACAATTCAATTTCAATGTTTCTGGAAGAGTCTCCTCACTGACCCCCTGAAGCTGGTTTGCGAATTTTAACAAGCCCAGCCTGACCAACACGTCAACCGTTTCCCCCTTACATTCAGTTTGATGACCTGCACAGACAAATAGACTTTATCATGAGAACAATCGATTAAAGAAAATAATCCATTAAAAAAGGTGCTAAAAATGTGAGAATAATAAAACTTCAGGACAAGTGGTACCATGATGATGAACTAAATGTTCAGAATAGGAACCGAAAGAATGCCCAAGAAAAAAAAGGATGGTACCATGATGAACTAAATGTTCAGAATAGGAACCAAAAGAATGCCCAAAAAAAAAAAGGATGGTACCATGATGAACTAAATGGTCAGAATATAAAAAAAAAAGGATGGTACCGTGATGAACTAAATGTTCAGAATATGAACCAAAAGAATGCCCAAAAAAAAAGGACTTAAGAAGTGATGCCACAATCATTTTGGTTGTGTGACCAAACAGGAGCAGAAGCAAGAGAGCGAGTTGGGTACAACACAAATATAAAGAATATCATTTGTATTCTTAATAAGCACCAATATCTCAAAATGATAAAGAAGATTATTTCTATTCTTAATAAAGCCATACAAATATAAAGAATATCATTTGTATTCTTAATAAGCACCAATATCTCAAAATGAGAAAGAAGATTATTTCTATTCTTAATAAAGTCAAATAAAGTATATTTTCCAAGTATAAGAAAAAGAAAAAAGAATCCAAAGATTACTTGTAACTTCAATCATACTTAGGCGGAAGGAAAGACTAAAAAATGAAGAGAGAAGGACAAGCATGCGTACCTATGGGAGAAGATGCCATAGGTGATCCTGGGGCCCATTGGTTTATTCGTGAAGCCCCGACACCCGTTTTAAGAACATTGGCAGGGAGACCATTTGACGAAGAAAGATCTGAGTTAGTTTGTCTGAAAGCCAAGAGCAATGCACTGTGATCTTTCCATTCCTGTTCAGCCATTGGCTTTACAGAAGAATACCACTGAACTGTTAAAGGTAGGGAGGTTGCAGAATCAGAGGGAAGTCCATAACGAGCTGCAAATGCTCTCTGTAAATATTCCAACCCAGCAGGACCCTGTATCAATGGTTCGAGAAGTTGTATTCGAGCTGCACTTATCTCTTGCTTTAGAGCCTGCATAGCATGTATATCAATTTCCAATATAATAAACCAAAAAGAAGCATCTTAAAACACTTGAAGAGAATGTAAATCCAATTATACATAAAACATAACTAATCCTACTCGTAATCCACAGATAATGTAAAGAGGAATGAAACAAGTGGCCTTCGCAATATAGCATCCATCAAACCAGTAATTATGGATGCTCGTGAGTACAAATGAATACAACATTAAACCATAATTATTGGTAGAACCAACTAAAAGGTTACACTGGGAACTCATGAAACCCATAAATATGGGTGATCCTGTGTACAAAAGAATACAACACAAATTATTTTTTCATAAAGACTACTAGGATCAGATTCAGGAATTCAGCAGTTGCGGTTACTTCCAAATACAAAATGTCATAAATGAGATTTAATAAATAATTTTTTAAAATAGTTATTTATAGCACATGAATTTTACCCAAAAACAAAATGTGGGTAACCAATGGTTGTACTACCAAAGTTTGGTACCAAATCAATGAATCACCTATTCAATTCTTTAAATCAACCAATATTGTCTCAAACTCTAGATGGCTTTGAACCCACAAATAATCAAAAACTAGATTCTATGAAACCAAAAACTAGATTCTATGAAACCAAAAAATGAGTACCTGTATCTCCTCTAAAACAAAGCGCAAGCCCTTGATTGTTGCAATTGCAAATGAGCTATTCAATTTGCCATCAACCCGAGCTATCTCAGCCAAATCATTCAGCAAATTGTTGTGGGCTGCTCTCATATCATTCTCCTTGGCAGGAGCTGAAAGCTTCTGTAAAGTACCTAAAGCATATTCCAAAATCCTCCCAAGGTAATCAATATCTGGGTTCACAGAACGCAATACCTGAAAGATACAGAAGACTTAGCACCACCATTTTTTTAAAAAAAGCATTAAACCCACCGTTTGTGCAGTAAACAACATATTGAGGGAGAGTGAGAAAGCACCTGGGTTAGGATATCCACATCAATAGCTTCAGTGACCTGTAGTCTCCAATTCTGAGGAACCATAGTGCAGAGTTCATCCCTGATCTCCTTAACCAGTTGAATTACCCAAGAGTAATCAGGGTCATCTTGTTTCAAAGAATCAGTGATCCCATCCCAAAAGGCCTTTTCCATTGTGGCCTTGATTGAATCCTGCCAGTTCAAGCAGAAGTCACTTACTAAACCACGAAAAATAACTGCAGCAACAATTATATATAATAACTGCAGAAATGAATATATTAATGCAAAAGGTGCAAGTTTTCCTTGCAACAAAAGATGCACAAACTATGCAACATTGTTAAGCATGTGCATGATTCATAAACAGCCTTCCAATGAAAAATGTGCTTGAGTTTATAATGCTTGAGTTTATAATCTTAAGCCAGGGTTTCTACTTGTAGAATCTCAGATGCATTGGTGTTTGGCAGTTAGTAGCATCAGACTCACATACTTACAAGGACCCATCATACTGTGAGCTCTTATATTGGAAAAGTAAATGAAGAGGAGACCTACAACTTCCCCAGGGGTCATATTTCACAACCAACTATCATGTCCACATCAAATTGTCATTTATACTTAATATATATCTCAAATGTAAATAATCATGTATGGAGGCCGTAGCGATGAAGCTCTGAATAAAGATCTGATATGAAGAACAATATGGAAGTATAATCATCCCTAGCGATGAAGCTCTGAATAAAGATTTGATATGAAGAAGAATATGGAAGTATAATCATCCCCTCATATTTTGGTTTAGTTTCAGAGAGAGATTTCACAAACTACAATTATGTTCATCCATTCTATATTCGGTATACCAAACTTGATAACTATGATGATATAGAAAGAGCGAGTATAAAGCATGCTCACTGAGAGGATAATAAGAAAGAGAGACCAGTACTATACCTGGACACCACGAGGGCCCTTGTTAACTAGGTCAAAGCAATCAGCCTTCATCAGGCTCCTCCTATGGACAATTTCATTAACAAGTATTTCATTTTCAATTGTCAATTTCTCAGCTGTGGTGCTCGCAGATCGGTCATCTACATCTGAGGAGGGAGATTTGACCTTATTGAACAGGGATCGAACCACATGACTCTTTGGCTTTCTCAGAATTTCTTCTTTTCTTCCTGCGGATGCTAGCGAAGACCCAACCAGTGAATCAGGGGAAGAAAATGGATCTTGAATTAAAGGTGATGCCAATGGGCTGCCATTTTCATTCCCTTCGAAGAATCTGTATCGCATATCTGAAAGCGCGGACTCCATCCGCTCAATACCATCAGTACCGCTCAAATGATGCACTTTCTCTCGCAGAAGTTTCTGGTCTTCAGACACCTGAATTATGATAATGGATAAGCATTAGAAACAAAACTAGAAGACAGGCAAGAGAGGAAACCTCATGGAAGACGAGAACCATGACAATCAGAACATGATCTGTAGTTTTTATAAACCTAAAAATTAAGGGAAACTATTGTAGTTTTTATAAACCTAGACATTATGGGGAACTATTAAAACAAAGTAAAATAAAAAACAGAAAGTGCAGCAAAGAATTGAAGTTGCTGATCCTTGTTTTGCAAGAAACTATCCGAACCAAGAAGACATTAAAAAGGATCCAAACCAAGAAGACATTAAAAGGGTAAAAATTAAAGAGATGGGTGTAAGCAATCATAAGAACTAAAAGATCATATCATCAAAATTATACTTTTAAACAAGTTAAGCTTAGGATTTGAATGATTACGAAAGATACCAGAAGGAAATAAAAATGAGTCACTATATTGAAAACTCAGAGCAAAACCAAAACGAACACTACGTTATATTTCACAATGAAGAACTTACGAACCTGTTTCTGAATGGCCTTCATGTCATGTGTTAGGTCGCCTGCCACTCCTTCAGTCTTCATCTTGCATGTCTGCATCATTGAAAGTTCAAGCTGGCAGGCAGCCCTAACCAAGTCCTCCTCTAAGGATCGAGCATCCTTAACCTTCCATACCACAAAGTGGTAGAGATAAGAGCACCATGCCGCATCAAAAGCCTTCAACTGAGACCGAAACGTCACCAAATTTGGTGATGCATTGGTTTCACATTTGTTATCAGGACCTGGGTTGCTCTGTGGACCATCTATCATTATCTTGACCAACAACTCAAGCTCCCAAACAAATTTAGAAGCTGCTTCAGCAAGTGCAACCTCACGTTCCCCTTTACCACTGAAAACCGCATCAGGATGACCCAATATCATATAAGCACATAGAGCAACTCTAACAGGGTATCTTAACAATTGACTTCTTTCTGGGGACTTCACATCTTTGGTAGAATTTTTACTAGAAGTCATCCTGGCTGACCTAGATCTAATTGGCATTCCTCTTCTACTAGGAGAAGACAAGCGCTTGAGCAAATGATCAATGTTCGCTAAATTTGATCGAGAGGACCTTGTAAGAGTGACCCGGCTCGCAATGCGTTCCAGTAATGCCTTCACAGTTTGAAGGGTGGTAGCAGATTCTATGCGTATAGCAAGTTGCTCAAATGGCATAGACTTCACAGATCGTTCATTGATGTCTAGAGCCTCATAGTCTTTGGCCAGGACAAAAGTTGTCCTTCTCACTCTTCGGAACTGTCTCCAGCACCTTCACAATAAGATGTGAATTTATTTTGATAAGTAATAGACAAACTAACTGGAATGCAAAAGATTTGACGAATGAATGAATCTTAAGCCACCAATCACATAAGGGCATGTAAAAACTCCGTGATATATTCCCCAAACCATTAAGTTTCTGAAATGAGAAACTCTTTATATAAAGAACTACATAAGATACTTCGGATCCTCTTCTTGAACTTTCGAAATAAACAGAAATTAATTGAAATTGAAGAATCCGCGGTTCTGATTATGCAACTGAAGTTCTGTGGACTGTGAATGAAAACCTTTTAATCTCTGCAAAATTTACACAAAGTTTGGTTGCTTTTGAGACAATGAATACAGATAAAGTGCTGATATAGAAATCTCGTTGGCCAAAAGCTAGAGCTCAAGTTGATATATATTCATACTGCTTCATGAAACTAAATCAATCATCCAATACTAACTCACTACATTACCTTGCCAATTTCCTAGAGAGGTGATCCCCGTGTTTGCATAGATCAAGGCGGTTCACACGACTAGAACCATGAGGAGTAACCCTCTGTCTCAAATACTCTGCTCTCTGTCTCCTGGCCTGTCCAAAGCAAATCAAAATACAGGTCAGATATCATGACAACCTTATAAGAGAAAAAGTAAATGATGAATGCAAACCATCCAAAGGTAACAGGAAAAGAGAACAATGCAAATTACACTACAAGAGCAGGAATTTAAAATAAATAAATGCATAATCATACTTGAATTTGTTCAACAAAGAATCAAAAGAGATATGCCCCCCACTTCAGAGCCCTAATACTATAAATAGAAAGCTCTAAGTAAGTAAATAAGGGCAATTCCAATTGGAAGTAAATAAATGAAAAATTGACAACTGCTTACCCTTTGGAGCCGATCTTCGAGCCTCTCTTTCAACTTTCTCCTTTCAATCTCTCTTTGGTTACAAACAGTTTTGGCAACACGCCTTGCTTGCATTACCATTGCATGGGCCCTTTTCTTCTCAGCTTCTATCAACCCCAACCTCTTCTTCTCAGCAGCTGCCCTCTTCTGGGAAATGGTAGCTTGCATTCTTTCTTTGTATCTTTTCTCCTGACAAAGTACCCCAGTTTTAGCAGCCTGGCGTAGCTCATCCAACCTAGCCAATCGCATTTGAGCCTGAGTCAAAATTTCCAACCTGCCATTTGAACAGAGAAACCAAATTTAATGTAACTTAACTGGCACTCAAATGACACAAAAAAGAAATAGAAATAAGAAATGGTGTAAACAAATACGACAGTAAAAGATAAGATGGAACTCAACCAAAGAGAAAGAGAGAGAGAGAGAGAGAGAGAGTGAACCCAGCCACCTCAATGGAGGAATTTAACCTTAGGTGACTTCGACCCAACAATGAGAGAGAGAGAGGACTACTCACCCCACTCAATGAACCAATTCAACCATAGTAAGTCCAATGGGAGAGAGGAGGCGGGGGAGTGGGGGAGAAAGAGAGACGGGTGGGAGGGGGAGGGGAGAGAGAGAGTGAGATCCCACTGAATAAAGGAAATTTAACCAAAGATATTTTCAACGAGAGAGAGAGAGAGAGAGATAACCAGCCCACTCAATAAAGGAATTCAACTAGGTAATTTAACGAGAGAAGGGGGTGAGAGAGAGAGAGATTCTGTCTTAGCCCAAAGGAATTCAATCATAAATAACTTCAACCCAACAACAACAATAAGAAAGACAGCGAGAGACACTCGAGCCCACACAACAGACCACAAAAATCTACAACCAAACAACAAGAGAATCAACACTACATGACAGTGAAAACACTGATGAATCGATGAAATTACCTCTTTTGCTCAGCAGCATAAAGCTTTGCTTCAAGACGCTGGCCGAGTACTTCATCCTGTGCTGACCATGTTGGGCTTCTCAGCTTTGGCTTCGCTTTGTTCGACAACCATTCATGAAATTGCTAGTGAATAGCCAAAAAATAAAAGAGAGAGACAAATCTCACTGTTAGTCATCAACACTAACAAAATTGAAAACCCATGCAAGTGCATGATCATAATAACAAAAAAGTACAATAATCTCCAATAATGCTATAGACTGAGTCGAGTTATCTTTTTGTTTTTTAAGTCATTGTGCGCTTGAACTTTTAGTCTTGGTTGTACTTGTCAAAATGCTTAGTCTTTGGCTATGTGAATAGTTGCTACTTTCTAATTCCTTCACACAATATCGTTAAAAATCTTATAATAATAACAACAATCCACTATCTTTGCTCTATATCGCTCAAGGTCAATTGGAAGATTGTATTTCCCATCTTTCATATATGTTTCATTTCTATTGCAACAATATCATCGAGAAAAAATGTTAATGAAGACCCAAAATTCGATATACCAAATAAGAAATACAATTAGCAAATAATTTAAAAATCTTGTCATAAAGGAGGAGAGGGTCTTTCTGAAGTGACACCGTAAACCCAAAAACCCTCCTAAATTCTCATGACTGAATAATGAGACAAAGAATCTCATGCCAGAAAAGCTTAATAGACGTAAACCGCAAGTCGAAATTTTATAGGCAATAAAACAAGTACAACCACGAGACGTAAAGAGAAAACCAGCAACCAAAAATTCATGAGAACAGTAGATATATCGCACCTTTACACAAAACCCTACAAAATCCATTCTCAAGGACAAGAAACAAAAAAGGCGTAGAAAAACTATTCCCATCGAACAGAAACAAGCAAACCAGACAATTGGCACTTACTCATGTAAAAAGAATAAAATCGCCCAAAATTCAACAAAAAAAAAGAAAAGAAAAAAAGAAAACAGGAGCGGGAGAGAGAGAGAGAGAGAGAGAGAGAGAAATACCTGGCGCCTGAGGTCGGCTTCTCTAAGCTTGGCCTGAATTTCTTCGAGGCTCACAGAGCACTTGCTCTTGTTTCCCAGCGACTCCATGAGCCGCCGTCTAACTCTTTCCGGCACGTTCGAGGGCGACCCGCCTTGAAATACTTCAAAGGCAACTCCATTAACCCCACCGTTATCCGACCACTCCATCACGCCTGATTCCGACAACTCCACGCCGGCGCCCATCTCCGCACCGGCAGCGACAGAAGGATCGATGTAGAAAGAGAAAAGAAGAGTATAGACTGGTAGAGAGAGAAATTTGGGGAAATCTTGAGAGAGAAAAGAGATCAGAGAGAGAATCAGAATAGACGAGATGGAAATCGGGAGTAGAATAAGGAGAGAGTCGGATTGGATTTAGAGAGAGAATAGGAGACGTGAAAGAGTGAAGACGAAAGTTTAGAGAGAAATAGAAAGGGAAAGGAAAAAGCAGGGAAAGAGAGATAGGGAGAATAAAAGCGCATGGCTTAATTTTTTGCGATGGTTTCTCTCTCTTACTTAGCGCCGACTCAACGGCTCCCTGGAGCCTTGACGGGGACGCGTCCGAATTTGGTCACCGTTCGCTTTGTGACGTGGGCGATCGGTTAATCGACACGTGGATACCCGGCTTAATGGACACGTCAGCATTATCGCCATGCCTTTTGCGTGCTTGGGTGGGAAGACAACCTTATTACTTCCATGAGGTAAAAAAAGAGAAGTCAAACGTACCTAAACTTTCCCTTCAGATATTTTATGCTCCCGCTACCATTCAACCTTTTAATTTTGATAAAGAGAACTACTCACGGTTTGAAATTAGATATAATATCTTAAAGTATTTTATTTTTAATTTTTTTTATACAAATTATATAAATATAAAATTTGATACATGTCATTTTTTTATTGAGGCGCACCTATAAAAAATATTAAAAATAATTTTTCGATAAAATATAATGACTAAAATACCTTTTGAACCTTTCAAAAGTATTTTGGTCATTTTATTTTATTGAAAATAGTTTTTTAATATTTTTCGCTAGTGTGAGTTTAATAGAGGTATGGACTTCTAAAATTTGGTGTCAAAATAGTTTATATAAAAAAAAATTTAAAATAAAATAGTGTAGAGATGTGACATTGTGATTGGGACAATCTTAACCCTCCATTTAAAATGGACAGTTGGATAAGGGAAAGTACTTAAGTTTTATGCTGCAGAGGAAGTACATAAAGCTTAGATAAAAAAAATATAAAAGTGAAAAGTAAATAAAACTGTATATTATTAGATTATCTATATTTAGAAAAGAGTTTATATACAACAGAGGCTCTAAACAATCTAATTGGAGCCCACTTCAAAAATTTAATTAAAAGAAGTTGTTTTGATGCTCAAATATCCTCAAATTGTTCATCTCAACATCAAGATGCATGGGCATGAGAAAAAAAAATGTATTTCAAGTTTTAGAAATAATGCATCTTGTAACACATTTTTTCAACGTCAATTTTCAAGACTTTAAAGTTTATATAGATCTGCACTATTAAATTTTATAATTAAAGAAGAAAATATATTTGAAGGATATAGTAAAGATTTTCAACATTGAAACCACATTTATCGATACTATTTGCTTTGATTGTTTAGAGCCTCGGCTTTATAAAAACTGCACACCTATGTATTTAGGGATAGTAGAGAGACAATATGCCTTTGATACAAAGAGAATGGTATGATAGGGCTGAAGCCCTATCAAAATAAGTAAAGCTTCACGTCATATACTCATCAAAAATTGCAATTCAAGAGTCAAAAAACCTTTATATCCAACATTATGCGTGAAAATAAAAAATAAAAAGGATTTCAAGCTCTAATGATAGTGCATTGTAACAAAATTATCTAGACTGTTCATTTTGCCCTAAAAGTAAGTGTTCAGATCCACAAGATTTGTACTAGTTTTTTAATCTCGAATTTCATCGTTGTTGTTGAAATTTGATTTTAGAACCATCATGAAGATTTTTATTGTCAAAAATGTTATTACGTTTTCATAAAGTTCAGTCCTTATAAAAACCTCATCCTTCTCAACTTAAAGTTGTGCCAAACTCATCACCTTGGGCTTGAACATATCAGGTAGGGGCAACTGGGCAAAAATAAGAAAAAATGAATGTGGACAAAATGACGTTCGAGGGAATTTATTATATAACTGATCTACATAATTTTCTAAAAGTATATCATGCACTACGCTGCATTGTGCATGGTACACCATGGCGATTTTCAACATGCAATTTGGACCATTGATAGCAGAGATTAATCTTAACCAGACAATAATTTTCTGTTCAAAGCAATGGTTAATCTTCACCGTTCATCATTGACAAGGATCGCCGATAGTGGACCATGTAGCACATATCATGCTATTGAAAGCAATGGTTGATCTTCACCGTTCATCAATGACCAGGATCGCCGATGGTGGACCATGTTTCACATATCATTGGAGTATGGTTGACTAACTTTTTCATGTGACAATAAAGAAATGATAAAAGTTTTTATAAAGTTGGTGCCCTAAACAATTAAATTAAAGCATACTTCAAAAATTCAATAAAGTTACGTGCATTAGTCAAAAAAACAAAATCCGAATCAATAGTGTATTTCTCTATATTGATGCTTGTACGGCACTCCGTGAATTTTGGCCCATTTCTTCAATACATTATTTTGGAAAAAAATTGAATCAATACTGATATTTGTTGTTTGTTGAGTCAATGCATAGTTGATGTTATGTTATGGCACAAATTGGCCTTAAAAAGACCATAAAATTATGATGTGAAAATCACTTAAATTTAGTCAAATTTCTGGGTGGAATGCTTGACCATGAAAATGCAAGCATGTGTTGCCACTATTTAGTGTATGCCTGTGTTCCACCAAAAATTATTTCAAAATTGCATCTTGACCAAAGATATGCAAATTTTGGCAAATTTCACAAAAATAACAATTATGCATACTTTCAACCAAATCTGCCAATATTTTGCCACAATTTCATCCGAATTTCAAATAAATTGTATAAAAAGACCAAACAGGAATGCATATTTTGGGTCTAAAGTAAGAATTTTTGTGAAATCTACAAAACTTGTTGCCGGAGTGGGATATACACTCACTTGTATTTTATCACTGATTTTCAAAGGTATCCAACACATTCTCGCACCTACCTTCTGGATGATTTTTTTAATGAAGGAATGGTTGAACCCTCTCTCTCTAAAATATATCTCTCTCTCTCTCCTTAAGTTAAACTTTGACCTAAAAAGATGCCTTCCTCTTCATTTGCTTACCCAAAAATAACCACTAATGCAATTGAAATAGCCTCCTCTATATATCCCTTTTTTAAAATATTCTGTGTATCTATACCCAAGTTTGTTAGAGACAACCCGAAAAACTATTGGTCTATAAAACATTTTTCTTTATCGCTACAAATCTCAAGTTTCAAGAAAGTTGTGTATGACTATAACCCCACAATTTTCTTTGTTCTTAGTATGTATGTGTCCACATATCAAGGGCGCGACATTGGTTTTTAAAGCTTCAAAAATTTGGGGACTTATTTCTTTGTATTTATCCTTGAAATTTTAATATAGAAGTATTAAACCTCATATCCCCTTTTTTTTTTAATATTTTTTTAATGGATTGTATATAATGGAGTCCGGTTACTTTCAATACAACGATGTCGCTATTACTTATAACCATCCAATGTAAAATCTGATAGCTTGAGTGTATCACAAAGTAAGAAAACTTATTTTGAAGTTTGAGCTTGGTTAATGGAACAAATGCAGCCATCCATTTTCACATCTAATAGTGAAAATTACCATCTTGTACAAAAGGTAAAAAGTCTCATTATATACTTTTTATTTTTTCAAATGCTGCACAAGATGTGTCTTGTTAAAAAATCGTTTTGTGATTGATGCTTCAAACATCTGTATACATTACCCCCCTATATATTCAATGTAACAAAGTATCCCTATGAATAGAACATAGCAAGAAAAAGGAGTACCAATTGCTCGCTCATCTGTCTGTTGAGTGGCTCATCTGTCTGTTGAGTGGCTCATGAAAGGAAAGGGGGTGGGGTGGGGTGGGGTGGGGTGGGGTGGAGTGGGGTGGTGTGGTGGGGTAGGGCAGGGCGGCAGAATCTATAAAGGTTAGAAGTTGATAAACTCGATTAAGAAATTAAAAAGAAATCGGGACATCAAGAAGCATGTGCTTTTGAATTCATAGGAGGCCAAAACTTTTTAGATCTCTTAAGGTCGATGGGATCATAGGAGAGAGAAAGGGAGGAGGCCGAATGGAATATTTCTTCCTTGAGAAAAGGATTACAATCCAGAGACAGGCGTATGAAATGAGTGTTATCTTGATCAGATCCATGAAAACTGCCGAAGGGTTTTGTCTAATTAAAAGCATTATGTCTGCTCATTAAATTGCTTATATTAGATTTAAATTTTTTTTAAAAAAAAACGAATTAAATATTGCAAACATATTAAATTTTTCCAACTTTGTTTATCTGATTTAATCAGTCAAAGCCAATCAATCAAACTGACCAATCCCAAACTAGTTCTATCATGTTCTTGGTTAAAACCCTATGGTGACTCTAAAATCTATTTCCACAGCGGATTATAAAAATTATAGCTCAAAATAGGGTACAAATCTTGGGGCTCAAGTGTTTGGATGACTTAAATAATGTGTTACAATATACACTATACAGGACTTAAAATCCTACTTTTTTCACAGCCACAATGGTCAACATTGAGATGATCAGTTGGAAAGTTTTCCAATGCTGATGGCAAAACTAGGTGAGATTTTATTTTTATATCATTAGGCGGACGCCACATTTAAATCTTTTTCGTATCGAAAAACTTGTAAAGAGGTGAGGGAAAGGACTGAGTGAAACAAATACAACAGAGACAGAAAGAAGGTGATAAAAAATTTATGAAAACAAACGTGAAGGAATGTAGCGAGTGATAAACAAATAGAGAGAGAGAGAGAGAAACAAGGTGATAGAAAAGGACCTTAGAGAGTGAAACCAAATACTAAATAGAGCTACCCTTTAAGTCAAGCTTTTCTCGTCCACAAAAGGAGACAAAATCCAAGAGCGTTGGTCGCCAGAGCCATGTGGGTTGGCGTTTTCCACGCCAAAATCCCCTCCACTAAATGTGCAATTCGTGGGCCCTGCCATCAATATTGCATTTTAGAAATAAATGAAACTCAAAAACTTACCTTTTGTTTCCTATTTTTTTTATCAGTCATCTCAGATTGCGTTTTAGAAATAAATAAAGTTGGGGGAAAAGTTTATGTAGAGCAGAGGCTCTAAACAACCAAATTAGAGCCCATCTCAAAAAATTTCACTGGACGAGTTTGTTTTGATGCTCAAATACCCTCAAATTGATCATCACGATGTATGGACCTAAGAATAAAATGAATTTCAAATTTTCATAAATCTGTTGATCTACATTATTTTTGAAGCTATAAATTTTATAATTAGATATGAAAATATATTTTGAAGCTATCGCAAATTGAAACCACAATTCTCGACACCATTTAAAGGTGCTCTCTACTTTGATTGTTTAGAACCTCGGCTCTATACAAACAACACCCATAAGGTTGAAGAAAACTCGAAAGTGTTTTTTCTTCAGCACCTCGACAAACAAAAAGAACCCGTTCTCTCTCTCACTTAGGGTAGGGTGAGTAGAGTCGGGTGACCTAAGAACTCAATTCTCTCCCTATCACCATCGGTCAGGGTTAGTAAAGTCGAGTGGCCTACGCCACAAAAAGAACTCAAATGTCTCTCCCAACTCCCCATCACGATGAAAGGAATCGCTTTCTCTCTCCTCTCCAACTCCGTCAAACTTTTTCTTCTTTATCCAACTCCCTCAACTTTACCATTATCTCAAGCCTCGACAAGCGGATGACCACCCAATCAGTACGGGGTTTCATATAAGGACGACGTTTCTAGAAGGCATAGGGTTTATGAAAGTAAAATATAGTCCCACCTCAAATCCTAATTCAGAAAGCTCTTTCGGCATTGTGAATTTCTATACGACTCTATATCAAATTCCAACATCAACAATAAAATTTGAACTTAAAAAATACTACAAATCTTATGAATCCATGAACACTAAGGTGAAATGGACAGTTTTAATAATTTGTTGCAATACATATTATTTTTAGAGCTTCAAATTCCAATTTTATTTCACAACCATAATGTTTAACATGATATGATTGATTTAAAAGTTTTTCAATACTTGAATTGGAATTTTCGATAAGTTATAAGATCAAGCTTTAACTAATTTTTATTTTTACTTATTTTGATATGACTACAGCCCTATCAAATCATTTTCCTTATCTAATCAAAATTTTTAACTACTGGTGGAATGGGTCATAATAAATCTTCTAAAAAATAATAAAATAGGTAATTTAAAATAAAAAATATATTAAGAATTTTGCCTAGCTCCATTTAGCTAATCGAGTCAATTAAAACCAACTGGTTCAATAACTCAAATATTGTTGTTTATTGATTTTTGATCAATTGTTGATTTCTATTTTGAACGAGATTAGGCAAAACACCAATCGACAATCTGACCAGCTAAACCAGTTCAGATTGTCCAATGACTCGAATATTGTTGTTTATTGATTTTTTTTTATCAATTTTGATTTCTATCTTGAACCATGCGAGTCAAAACACCAATCGACAATCTGACCGGCTAAACCAACAGTTCAGTATCCAAATCAATATTACACTCGTCCTCTCTCATTTGGCGTCTGAATTTCATCATCCAAATCAACATCACTCGTCTGCGTATACTATGCTACCAACAGTAGACTTAACGCCCATAGGCAAGAAACTAACTTGGGAAGATCTTATCCATCCGAAATTTTGGGAACCACCCAAAAATTACTTAAAAAAGGAAATAATATTTTTTTAAAAAAAATTCTAAATTTTGAGTTTTCTAACAATTAGATCACACCATTCAAAAACTAGACAGCTTCTCTTCAAGAAAGCAATTTGAATTTTTTTTAATTGAGTATAGCATATTGTATGAAAAGATAGTATCCCCAAAATTTTGGGTCTTAAAAATATTAAATCTAGTTTTGCCAAAGGAAGCAAATGGACCATTTGCTTTAAATGTAAGGAGGTCATAATCACCTTTGTCTATCAAATTTCAAATTGGATAATTGTGAATATGTAATTGATTAGAATTAAGTTCAAAAAAAAATTCTTAAACTTTGCAACACACTCCAAGTTAGCCCATTTGACATCGAATTGCTCGTACCAATTGTGACCTTGTAACAAAGATAAACGGTCCCATAGTATACAATCCCTTCTTTTTTGGATAATCCAATTTTCAGCAGAATATTTCAATAATCTTTTGGTAAATATATTACAGATTTGAGCAATCAGTGAAGCAAGGAGACGTGGGCCAAAGGAATTGAAGATTTTTAACTTGGTGGCTGGTTACTTTGCACAGAACTATTATTAGCTCATTTTTCATCAAAATCAAATAGTCATGTCATATCAAGTTCTCAGTTCTCTTTCTTAAGGCATTATTTTCATAATTTACTTAGCAATGGTACTTATTTGAACCATTTATTGAAGATTTCTAAGCAATTTAAAAGAATTAAGTTTAAAACTTTAGCGATAAATTTCACAAGCTCCATTGAGTAAGAATAACATATTAACAAAGTCAAGCAATTGTGAGTAGGCAAAATGAAAACCTGTGGAAAAACGGTTGGACATAGAAGCGGCACCTTCCTTCAACCACAATGATGTCCAACACCGGTCAAAGAAGCATTGAAAAGGTAGTTCTTCAACAAGCACAACAAAAAGGTTAACGGATCTTTCATTAAGGGTTCCAGTCACCGAAAGATGAACTGTATTACAAGAAACAAAATGCCAATGACTTCTAGAAATATGGATAACATGCTCCTTAAAATTGGATTTCACCCAAAAGCTTTTTTTGTTCTCCTAAATTTTCTCGAAATTATAAAAGTAAAGCATTATCTAAGTCAACTATACCTTCCATATGGGCCATTGTTTTTCTTCATTGACTCCATTTTCTTTTTATCATGGCCCAGGAATGCAGTCTATCATTTGAGTGCCGGTTTCTCTATTATCAGAACAAATATCCTCTGCAATTGCAACAGCTTAATCCCGCAAAGCTATAAAAAAACTTTGCACCTGGATCCTTTACTGTAAATAAAAAATTAAAAAAAAGAAGAAAAAAAAGAAAAAAATATAAGAACCTCCTTAAGGAACAACGACAATTGAAATCAAAGTGTTTTCCATACCAGAACAGAATTCAAGTTCAACTTTGAGGTCCCAGTGTTTTTTAAACAATACTAACAAAGGAAAATGACAATTCTTTCTGTTTAAAAAATGGCAGAAAATGTGTCCCCTGTTTCAAGAATAGCCAATTCCGAGCATGTAAACAAAACACCTGAGAAGACCCTGCTATCGATCAGGGACAGTTTATTAAGCCCCATTAGCTGGTCAAGGATTAAGTGGGTCCTGCTGCATAGAAAGAAAATTTGCCAATCAATCTCCCAGTTATGTTTTCTTCTTTTGTCCTATAGATTATTTCCACCGTTACATCTCCTAATACTAGCTTGAGATACACTTAACATTCATAATAACAGATAAGCATGCATCAAGAAAAGCAATCCAAAGGTAACATGAAAATTTTTAATTTTACTGGCTATTGAATTTCTCGCAAAAAACATTCAAGCAACAAGTATACAATCCTTCACAATGATGAGATCAACCAAGGTTACAAAAAATACTAGGCAGCCGGCCTGGCACCCAGTAGTACTACTTCTTTAGATATATGCATATATGTGATGTCCAAACACACATGTATAACATACATATGCATATATTTGTGTTAATTTCATAATTATTGCATTTGTATGTATTGTAACATACTTTTTTTACATACAAACATATGACTTGTTGCTTGTTAAGAAAAAACCTGCTCAAAATTTTAAAATTCAAATCATACAAAATTTAGAAAATGTTAAAAGTCTAATAGGCAATGCATTAATAGTCTCCAACTCTCCATATTCCATAATAACATGGCCTCCGACTCTACAAGTCTTCAACAAACTTACAAAAGTACAAAACCAAACAACAAAATAGTCCAATAAAGCAAAAACTCTAATATCCAAATGTCATAAGTTCAAACTAAGTTGGCGCAATAAATATGAAATACAAAACTACAAAAGAAGAGAGAACATATGTGTTTCTCCGATCATCAGCAGTATAATAACAAAAAATCTTAGGATGCTTTTTCAAACCATAAAAAAAAAAAATTTCAATTATCCAAAATAGGTATAGCTAAGAGATTTAGGGTATAAGAAAGTGTTTTTTTTTTTTTAATATGGCCACCAAGAACAGGGCGCCCAAGCATAGGCATGAGGCCTGAGGCCCCTTGGGCGGCTAGGCACCAGGCAGTCCATTTTTTTAAAACATCGAGATCAACAATTCCAAAGAATTCAACTTTAGAATACAAAATATATCCTAAATTATGAAAACAGGACACCAGATAGGATAAGAACCAGACTAAAGTACCACGTTCCACACGTGTTTTTTCCTACTATGATTTCCTATGGATGAAAAACAATTTCCATGTTACCACAAGCAATGCACTGGTTTGGGGCTAGTTGCCAACCCCATCAAAATTCCTTAATTTTATATATAAAAAGCTATTAAGATCAAATGCATGCTTTAAATGGCGGAAGATGCACTACACATATAGTGAAAGTCACTCAGAAATTAGGACCACTAGCAAAATTCCAGAAGGTGCACATTGTCATCAGAACATAGTAATCAATTACTTAGAGGTATTTTCTTTCTGCCATTGATTTTAGATATGGTAGCAAAAATGTCAAATCCCTGGCAAGGTGGGGGCTTGCTAGAGAGGAGCTATAGGTGTAGAGAAAGACTTTCTCCGAAAATTTGTACCAGCATTACATGTTTCCTATTTTACACAAATGAATAAAGGCTGCTTACCAAAAAGAAAAACAATAAAAATTTAAGTAATTTTTCCAAGCTAATCAAAAGAGGACGAGATGCATGGTTTCAAAAGAGAAGTTAACATAAAAGGGGCAATGCAATTTCACAAAAAAGAAGCCCAAAAAAAGAAAAGATATGTCTTTACCTCCACACAGAAAGAGCTCATTCTTCTTCTATTTATGTATTTCTATTTGGTATCATCCCTCTTTTTTTCATTGGTATTGTCCTTCCATTCGTCACTCAAGTGATGCCCATGATTACTGGAAGCAAACCCTTCAACATAACAGGTTTCAACAAACATATCTTTCAGCAGCTATCAAGCATTGGCCCTCACTGAAAAAGTGCACTAGCCTTTACGCCAAGAGAACCTAAGTTAAAGATTTCCCTTGAACCTTTGAACGAGTTAAGTGCAGCCTGTGGTTTAGTTACGACACCCTAGACTGACAGATAACTGCCACTCCTTAACGTGGTTGTGCTTCCTAGTCGCCTCCAGCAACTAAGAACATAGAGCTTGTCCAATGCTTCCTATCAGTTATATAGGCCTCCACAATTTTTACCAATGTGGCGGAAAACACAAAATAAGCCTCAAATAGGTAATCACAAACCAGCCACAAAACTCCAAGATGCCAATTTCATCACATATTGATAGGCTAAAAAGAAGTCTCTACAAACAAGTAAATACTCTGTCTCCCCAGGGATCACAATCTTGTATGCAAATTATCCTACACCAGGACAGATGTTATAGTGGCCAAACTACTATCATCCATAGCCTGCTCACCAGAATCAGCTCCAACAAGCACATCTTCTACAGAACCAGGTACCTCTACAAATGAATCAGATAGACAGTGTTCACTACACCCATGAAGGTTAACCTCTGCAGAAGCAGCACTAAGAGATTTATGGGTATGATCAAAATCATGGAGTGCAGTAACCTCTACAGAAGCCTCAATAGGTTTCTTCAACTGTATTGCTCTAAAAAAAAAAATTGATCTTAGAGGAACAGTGTACAACTTCACCAAATGAAGCATCAAGATTGGAGTCAATAGCAGCAACTTCTGGAAAGTTGTTTACAATCACATAACACTATGTTGCAGTAGCCTCTGCAGACTCATGGAGAATTGACACAGTCGAAGAAACATCACGAGATTTCATCTCCACTTCTGAAGTATTGTTCTGGTCGCATGCAAGTTCTGCAACTGTCACATCATCAACAGAAGCAGACCCATTGATAACCTCGGAAGCATGCGATCCAATAGCCCGGGCCCCATGAGAATCCTCACAATTTAATTCAGCAACACCAGTCCCTGAAAAACTATCAAAATCCTTGTGATTTAGTTCAACAACACCAGCTTCAGAAGAACTATCAGAATCCTTGTGACTTAATCCAACAGCATCAGCCCCAATAGAACTATTTGTCACCTGGGAAATAGAGTGACTTTCAACAGAAGCATCCTTAGCCTCAACAGAATCCTTAAGATTTAATTGAACAACATTACGCTCTATAGATTGATCAGAAACCTTGTGATTCATGTCAACAACATCAGACTCTATAGAATCACAGTAAGTATGAATAATAGAACAAATAGGAGCAAATTCCAATGATCGGCTTATAACCTCAAAGCCATCCAATGCACCACCAGGAGTAGAAGGATGAAGTTCTGACTCAGCAGAAGAAGCATCTTGCGATTTATTCACAATCTCGGACATATCTTGCTGGTTGTATTTAAATTCAGTAGCTGTAGTATCTATAGAGGAAAACAAAAAAAACTAAATGAGATTATAAATAAAACATGTCAATCACTGGATTTTTTTGAGGGATTGCATACAATGAGACCATTTACCTTTGATACAAGGAGGTCACAATTACTTATAACCATTTGATGTGAAATTTGATAGCTTGGGTGTATCACAAAATTCGAGAAAATTTCTTTTGAAGTTTGAGCTTAATCAATTGAATAAATGCAGCCACCCAATTTTACATCCAATGGTCAAAATTAGTTGTGATCACCATCTACCAAAGGTAAATGATTTCATTGCATATTTTTCCTTTTTTTAAAAAAAAAAAATCGCTAGCATACATAAGTTAAGTGAAAATTGATTAGTTGTGACCACCATGTACCAAAGGTCAATGATCTCATTGTATATTTTTCCTTTTAAAAAAAAAAAATGGTTAGCATACGTATGTTAAGTGAAAATTGAAACCACACCTGTAGATTTTCCATTTCCAGGACCATGTTTCAGTAGCTGTTTCTGCAATAGATCAGTGCCAGGGAATACCATCATATTCATGGTCCTTAACTCTTTCCTATGTGATTCCTCCAAAGGTTTAAAACCAAATCCCTCTCTCCATGTATGTAGAAGTTCAGATATTGCAGGTATGATAAGCTTTTCAACATTAAGAGAGCGAAGAACCTGAAAAATGCAGAAATTGATCAATTAATTTGCAAAGAAGCTGAAGTAGGTTAACCAAAAAGCAACAAGAACAAAAAAAAAGGAGTCTGTTAAAGAAAACCAGATTCGGAAAGAAATGAAGCCATTTAGTTGTGTGATAACAACAATATCACGATGATGACAATGATGATTAGACTAGTATAATAATATGTTTTGAGCCAAGCACATCACTGAAGATACATAAAACATTGGAATGTGTAATTAAGGTCATCAATAAGGCAACTGCAAAAGCCAGAGAGAGCTACAAGGCATGTGTGTTCCACTAGCGCTAAATCCTCCACCAAAGATTTTGCAACATAAAAACCATCACAACTCACTCTAACATTAAGCTTTGTAATTTGAACGGTTGTGAATTGTAGATTATCCCTATATATATATATATATATATATATATATATATATATATATATATAGGAAGATACTACAAAACGCCTCTAAGCAAAAATGAACAGTGATTTCACCTACCTTCATCACCGTCCAAAATTCATAGCACGGTCATGATTGTCCGGTAGTGTTTCATTTTTCTTTTTTTTCTACAAATCGGAATGACCTGAAATTTAAAGTATGTGTACATGAAAAATAGGAGAATCTAGGAAAAATATCAAAAAAAATATTTTACATGAAAAAATTGACCAAAATACCCCTGAAAAGTTTGAAAAATATTTTAATCAATTATTTTTCGCCAATTATTGTTTTTATATTTTTATTAGGTGTATTTCACTAAGATGTACACAAGCTCCAAATTTCAGGTCATTCCGATTTGTAGAAAAAAAATGACTAATAAAGCACTACCAGACAATAGTGACCGTACGAAGAACTTTGGACGGTGATGAAGGTAGGCGAAATCACTGTTCATTTTCGCCTATAGACGTTGGGAAGAGTTTTTCCATATACATATATATATATATATATATATATATATATATATATATAGTAGGAGGGTGGGATGTTATGTTGCAGCATCAGCCCCCAACCACCAATGCGCCAACCGCATTCCCAATATGGCATGGCATTGCTCGACCACTTCATAATTTAATGATATAATAGAATACTTTTTATATTAGAAAATTCAAATAATCATTGTGTTCGAAAACGGTGTTCTAACTTAGTAGCAAGGTCTATGAAAGTGAAAACGCAACACAATGTCAAGGATTCCGACCACACTGCTTACCCAGAATGATAAAAAGCTTTATTTATTAAGAATCTTATAGGAAATGGAAGGGAGGAAATAAAAAACTAAAACAGTCCAATTCTTCAAAATTCATAAAGTCGAATATTTTAATACTGACGTCTATCTCTATTATGCAATTCAGGTTTATTTAGTTATAATCTAGAATGGGCAAGGTACCCCCAAGTCTAGATTCAAAACTCAGCAGAACAAGCTAAATATTTCTTATCTTCCTTTAGGCAAATTAGGCAAGGAGGTCTAAAAAGGACCTCCTATTGATGAAATGGATCCGGAAAGGATCTGGTTGTATCCTCCTTTACTTCAGAAGAATCCCTAGGCCTCAGACTCAAACCTAATATGTTATTCTCCTTTCATAAGGTTGAGGCATGCTTTCAATGGTTTTTAGCTATTTCTTCAAAAAAGAAACGAATCAACTACCACAGCCTGCAGCCAGTGTTTTAAAATGCGGCCGCATCGCCGCATATGCAACCGCATCATGTGGGATACGCTCGCATCCACATCGCAAACTGGCGCACACGCGCTTTTGATAGATGCGGCCGCATATGCACCGCATCAGGCTGCATCCCGCATCAGACCACATCGCGCCGCATCTGCCGCAGAAAAAAAAATTCAATTTTGCCCCTCGGGGATGGGCAAAATGTTCTTTTTGTAGTTCCAAAGTTTAGGGAAACTGTTTGGGGGGTTATTATACCCCCTAAACGAAGATTTCCAGCTACTTTTGCGGCTTTTTTTGCATCACATCGAAAGAAAAAAAAAATTGGCAAAAAAAAATTTCGTATCCAAATCTTCAATTTGGCAATTGTTTGATACTTGGATGTTCATTTAATGCCTTTGATTGTTGATTTGGGGATTTTAAGGTAAATTTGTAATAAGAAATTGCGGATTTCAAAGGCCGTGAAGAAATCGAGTACTTCACAGAATCAGTAACTTTTTATTCCTTCTTGTACAATAATACTGTTATACTTATTTTTGGGCCAATGTCTTCTTCCCAATCTTCTAGTAACAAAGATCCGGCTTGGAAATATGCTAAACTAAAAAATCCGAAAGATAGAAATTCTGTGATATGCTTGCTCTATGGAAATACTTATATGGGTGGTATTTTTCAACAAAAAGAGCTTTAGCCGGAATTTCTGAGAATGTAAGAGCATGCCAACAAGCTACAGATGATATAAAAAAGGAGATTAGAGAATATTTGGATAGATAAAAAAAAGATAAAGAAAAAAAAAAGGAATTACTTGATTATATGCAATTATTTGATGATGATGATGATTTGTCTGAAGTTGCTATGAGGTAAAGGGGTACTCATACTCCAACCGCAAGAGAGAGAGTTATAAATATTGGTGGTAGTGCTGAAAGAAGAACACCTCTCTCTACGGGGCCAATGGATTCTTTTTTCACCCCTAGCCCCGAAATTGTGGCTCAAGAGAGAAAAAAAAGAAAAAAACAAACCACAATTGACAATAAATATAAGAAAGAACAAAAAAAGTCGGTATGTAAGTGGATTGCAAAGTGGATTTACATGGCCTGCATTCCTTTTAATACTATAACTTTGGATAGCTATGCATGTACGGTCCAGGCAATGGGCAATATGGCCCAGGACTTATTCCTCCTTCACTACATGAGGTTAGGGAGCCCTTGTTGAAGGATGTTGTATTTGATGTGAATAAAATTTTGATTTCTCAGAGTGAAGGGAGGGAGAAAACTGGGGCCACTATTATGTGTGATGGTTGATCCGATGAGAAATCAAGGGCATTCATTAATTTTTTGGTTAACTGCCCAACAGATACTTTTTGTTGTTATGTCTATTGATGTATCAGACAAGTCACATGATGCCCAACAGGTACTTTTTTTTCTATGCATTAACTTATTTTTTGACTTTTTAGAATTTTTTTACATTTATTTACCGCATCATCGCGTCGCATCGGCCTCCCACCACATCAAGGCCGCATCCCGCATTTTAAAACACTGCTTGCAGCCCACCCTATAATTCATCTTTCATAATCAACAGATAATAGTAGTGGATCAAGAATTGTAATGAGCACATACCCCAATTTTGAAGGTAGGAAAACTATAGAAGACATCAGCCTCAAGGGAACATAACAAAGTAAAACTACAAACCAGTGTTTGAAAAAAACGGATCGGTGACTCGAATCAGGTTTTCACCCATGCCCGTGTCGGATCAGTGAATCGATTCGCAAAATCAGCAATTTTTGTCCCAAAACAATTTCAAAAAATCATTATAAATCTCTAAAAATAGTGTTTTTTAGTTTCTAATATAATAATATTTTCAAAAAAAATCATTATAAATTTTCCTGTCTAGATGACTGTATAATTGTTAATCATAATATAACATTATAATATATCATTAAAATAATTTAACAATATTAGAAAACACTTCCATATTATAAGATTAAAAAATAATTTCTAAGGGGGGTGTTATTCACAACCTAACTAACTATAATATTATAAATTGAAATTGGTTTTATAATCATTTTATAACCACAAATTTTGAAATTTGTCTTATAGTATCATCTAATTTAAAAAAAAATCTAATTTACAAATATAACAAAAAATAGTATCTTATATAACTTAAAATGTAAATAAAGTACCTTATATAACCTATAATGTAAATAAATTAATATATAAAATATAAGATTTGTTTATCAATGTAATTAGTATAATTATTAATTATAATATTCTAATAAATGTGATTCAAAAAACAAGGGCGTAACCCTCAAAGTAAATCTAATGTGTAATAATTAATGTGGATAAAAATAAGCAATTTAAAAACATAAATTTACAATCATATTTTAATAAAAATAGAAAAATAAATAAATAAATTCATACTTGTAATGTGGGATAATTGATAAAGCAACTTGAAAATAAATTTTAAAGTCGTATGAGCTAGTGTTAATTTTGTTTTTTCTTAATATATCCCATAAACTTGCCTTTTAATGGTCAATAAACTAGTATTAGTGTTATTTTTGCCTTTTCAATATAATATGAGTTAGTAACATATTTTTTTAGTGTCAATTGGCTAATATCTAATAGCCTAATATTAATCAAATAATCCTATAAGCTTTTTTGGGGGTAAGTATAACCCCATGAACTTTTTTTGGGGTAAGTATAATCCTATGAGTTAATAACGCTATGAAATCTTCGGGTAAGACAATGTGAAGTTTGTCCCACATCGAAGAGATGTGGGAGGAAATAAGCCTATAAAATAGTTGAACCTACTTCAACGAATATGATGTGTTGGGACGCAGGGCATCGATTGCGATGCAAGGTCCAAATAAAGATAGGGTAGAGGCGCAAGGCTCAATGGAAGAGCTAACATCAAGGGATGTGAGATTGGTCCAGCACGTGTTGAGAGTTTTTAATGGGAAAATCTTATAAAATTGATTTTTTGATGGGAAAATCTTATAAAAAAGGTGGATTAGTCGGGATCCCATTTCTTAGCCAGAACCGGGACGGGCTGAGCGATTCCCGATCCGAATTGCCCAATTCCGAAACGGGTCACCAATTTTTTAAACACTACTACAAACTGAAATAGGGCAAGTGACAAACTTGAAATCAAGGAAAGCATATGAAATGGCAAAATGGCAAAACTTGGGAATAAATTTTGAACTTTAAATGTCCAGTGCATTTTTATGAGTGCACTAATTGATTAATCACAAGATACTAAATAGGTAACAATCAAACCAATTTATCAGATTCCCACTTACATACCGATTCAACTACATTAACAAGTCGGCGGCACATCCCTTGGCGTCTGTATATATGGCGAGTTCCAATGAGAGGCATCTCAGCTAACTTAGTTCCATGGATCCTAAAACATCAACAATATTTTAAAACAATACAGCATGAGAGAACTACAAAATCAACTACCTAAACGAAGGATAACATTGTACTTAATATCCTAATATACTGAAAGAAGAGTAGCAGCCCAAGTTCTACGATGAAGATGTGCCGAACAATAGCTACCCAAGTGCAGATGAATAACTATAAAACTACTCAAAGAGAAAACAAATAAGGAAACTTACCTGATGGAAGCAGCAGAAATAATTTCTTCAGCTTTCTCCAGCACTATGGTATAAAAGCCACTATAATTTAACCGGTTAAAGTTTGACCTACAAAAGATGCCCAAATGATCAAGCGCAACACTTCTAAATTTGATATATGTATATGTGTGTGTGTGTGTGTGTGTGTGTAGACACACACAACACAATCTGTATATATTTAACAAAATAAACAAGGTAAAAAATGGAAATCAAATATTACAGAGAACACAGAACCACTAATAAAACCTATCCAACTTGATAGAACATTTATCATACAAATACTCATTCAATAGAACAGCACTCCCAAAATCATTGCCGTGTATGAAATTCTGATAAGCAAATGGAAAAGAGGTGTACAGGTAGGCAACAGCTCAAAGTTTTATCACTATTCAGAACTTGGAGAGTAATTAGCTAGAACATAGGAGAGGTAAAAAGATCTCAACAGCGGCCAGTGACTGGCAAAAGGAGCCACTTCTGAACTGATGATACACAGGGGAGGCTTTTTAAAACCTCCAAGGCTGTTTCCCCTAGGCTCTGAAACTTGGAGAGGCACCTTAACTACAAGGTTGTGGATTGTTAAACAAAACCATCCAGGGAAAACAAATTAGATGGACCTCGGGAATAATCTAATGGAAGGAAAACTGGAAAGAACTCATACCTCAATTAGAGAATAAGGGAACTATTGTGGTAGAGACAAGGATAGGAGGAATTGAATGGAGTGAAGACTTGAAGATTTGGTCAAAATTCTGTTATGCATAGGTCAAGTTCGTGTCATAACCACTCCTTCCCTACAGATGGATCTGGAGGAAAGAACAATCCCCAAGATAGTTGCTTCCTCTAAGTTGGTCAACAAACATAAGAGTTCAATTATCATCATCATTCAATGCAGAGGGTTCTTGATGACTAGCAAGGGTCTCTGTGCATGAATCAGGAGGAACCATTGTATCACTTCTAGCATAGCTCGAGATTTGGGACTAGACTGTTTCTGAGAAAAATAACAAGGACTAAATCTCTACTAAGAGGGCACCAAATCGTATGATAGCTTCTTTAGAGTTTAGAAAGAAATTTAACTCATCAGAATCATAAACAGTAAACATTTAACTCTAATACCATAAGAAGGGCAATGAACTATACGATTTTAGGAAATATAGGCACTGGCAAAACACATTTCTTACTACAGAAATGAATTATCACAAGAATAGTTACCCAGATACCCCCGCTCCAGGAAAACGCTCTGGCACTCTAGGATAGGAATCTCCATACGATCATGATTTTCAAATTTTGGGATCTCAATCGCGACTTTTAGGGATCACGGTAAGGTGCTCGAAGGGACCAAGAGGCCAAGAAGATGATTCAATTTGATCTGTGTTTGTGTGTGTGTGTGAGAGAGAGAAAATACAACAGATTTTATCAATAAAAACCAGCCAACCTGTATTGTTATCTATTCTCCCAGTGTGCCTCATCATAATATGTTTTTATTGCATTTTACAGGATTACTGTTACATAAACTAAACCTCAGAAGAATAAAAATTCATTATTTATTAATTAAATTTATAAAAATATTATTTATTAATTAAAATAAATTTAATTAATAAAAAATAACTTTTTATTGGCCACTGTTTACTGTATGTTGTGTGACTACTGGATTTTTAAAAATTTATGAGAAATTTACAAAAATAAGACCAGTTTTATTTTTGAAGTTTAAAAATAGTCCCATATATTTCACATCTTACACTAAATCCCAATTTTGTGTAAAGTATATTCCAATTTTATTTACTTTTATATACTTCGGATAAAGCTCAAATTTAGGGTATCCATACTTCTTACCAAGATTCACTTGAAAAATAACCAAAAAAAATTACCCAATACCACTAATGTGTGATGATGAGAAGTATGGGCACACAGACTTGAGCTTATATACATATATATATAACAAATTGAAATCCAATATAAGCTCTCAAAGATGAGACAAAGTGGGAGTTGAGTGTAAATATGAAATATTGGATATTATTTTAAATTTTCAAAAATAAAATGGTATTATTTTGTAAATTTCCCATTATTTCAAAAAACTTCTACTTTTAATTTCTATTTAATACTTAAATAATTCTACAATGTGCTCCCAACCAAGGGAGCTTCAGCTCCCACTTCCGACAACTATGTCACAGATTCATAAAATATATATTACTAATGAAAAACATATCACTCAAGAAAACTTCCCCAAGGCGAAGTGAAATATGCTTTCTGGCTTTTAGTGAAAAATAAAAGAGCAAGACAACAAATGCATATGTAAAGCACACAATAACAAGGGGCCGCATATATGTACAATTCAGTTTTAACACACCACAAACACTACAATACCTAGACAAGAAATCAATAAAACGTAAATGTGAATTTTCTAATTAAAAAACTATAATACATGATTCAATCAGAGCTCTAAACCATCAATGCAACAATTTTTCCAGAAAACTCTCCATCACAATTTGAGAGTATGGAAATGCATGCAATACAAAGTTATGAAAGATAAAAGCACATACCCGCAATTGTATAGAATGTTATGGATCATGTTAATACTTGAACGCTGGTCAATTATGGGATAGAAGCACTCATCCATTATACTTGATGCAATGGCAATCTTAGAATTGCATTCCGTTCTGTGTGCGACTCCAAGACCAGATAACGGTTCTCTTTCTCCCCCACAACGCTGGAGAAGAGTCCAAGAGAAACCCCCTCCAAGATCATTTGGTACCCCAAGAAGATCACATAGGCATCCATAAAGCTACAAAAGGTAAGAATCACCAAACATATGCAGCCCAAATTAGTTAAAGATCGTAGTTGCAATAGCCACAGAAAGAAGTCGACTGTGACATAACAGAGCTTAGACTCCACAACTTCAGAGAGCATTCTGAGTTCACAAAACCATATATAGTTCAATAAAGATAGTTCAACTCTTATAACAATGTGCATGGCAAGTGTGTATGGATAAACCTAGACTGTTCGATAAAGATAGTTTATCTCTTATAACATTGCGCATGGCAAATGTATATGGATAAACCTAGACTATGGAATGATAAGACTGCATCGTAACACATTTAACTATGCATGAAGTCACAGTAGTTTACCCATCTCTCAAGTCAAAACTCTCTCTATTTTTCCATTTTAAACAACAAAAATGCACCTCCAATATGTAAAATTTAAAGCGAGAGAGACAAGCACTTCAGCCGAGGGTCAAATTTCTATCGTCCTGATTTGGATCGAAACACTTACTAAAACTAACAACAGGCCTACTCGTTCAAGTGCTTAGGCCTTGGTTGGACATCTTGGTAGTATATCCATATGACAAATGGGTAGTCTTCAATGGTCATTCGGACATAATCAAGTAGAAGAGTAACCACTTTTTTGCTGATACCAAAACAAAGATGTTTTTTCTCTTGTATCCATAAGGCAAAACACCCCCACTCGGCAATATTTTGCCGATAAGAGGGGTCGCAAAAGTTCAGAAACCTTCGTGAATAGAGCCACTCAGGCAGATTTATGGGAAACTGATATCTCTAATCTCTACAGCCAAAAAACAGGGTGTGTCAAATGTGGGCATTAAGCTGTTGAACAATCACATTCATTTAACCAAGATTGAACATTTGAACTTGCTTTGTGGAGCTATCAGCCTCTCACTAACAAATATAACAATGATTCAAATCCCAATAAAACAATTCTCTTAAAGATCAAGAAATGTCAAGTAATGATACAGTTTGTCAAGTATTGCATCTTTGACTTTGGCTTTTTTGATATTACAAATACTGCTTCACAACTGCCTGTCCAGACCTTACAGAGTATATATCATCTGTCAAGTGTTGCATCTCTGCCTTGGGCTTTTTGCATATTACAAATACTGTTGGTGCCCCTGTTCTCTTCCAGAAGAAAGAAAACAGGATGGCACGTTTATGTGTGTTCAGACCTTACAGAGTATATCTCATCTGTTTCTAAATTAATAGTAATTACTTAGTAAACTTCATGGTGCAGTTTTTAGCTTTGTGTTCTGCTTCCCCACCATTGCCCAATGGTGGGCACTGATACGAAGGAAAAATCACATTCATTCCACCAATATCCAAGCACATTAAAAAGTAGACTTGGGTCAGGAGTCACAATAGTTCCAATTTGAATGGACTCATAGAGACTCAGCTGACTCTCAATAGAACCACCGAGGGCCAATGGGACTCTATGGAGGTGATATGGATCAAGGCAGATCCAATTGGATATACCCCAAGGCAACTCGACGTCTTCTAAAACTGGATCCCCATGTAATCCTTCTAATTTCAACATCACCACAAAGGGACATCAAGTTTTCAACAGACTATTTAAACCACTAATTCAAGAATGCCACATAAACAAACTAATGCAACCGTCGTCTTTATTTTCTCAAGAGTCAAGTCCAGTACAAACAAAACACAATTCTCGGGCCATAATTAAGGGAAAGATAAATATGTCTGTACGTTCTGTAAATATAAAGTCCGATCTAATATGGGAGGAATTGCATCCACATAAGCACAAAAATTAAGAGATGACGTTATAGTTATCAAAAGATAGAACCCCATGTATAACAAGAATCTGAATCTGACAGTAAAATGAATTGAAAGAATCAATTTTCAAAAAAGTGGATGCCAGCGCCTAGGCAGCAAGGGGTCCTGGCCGCCTAGGCGGGCACCCAAGAACCTAGGCTGCTGTAACCTAAGTTAATGGAGTTTACGCCCTCTGTGGAGTTCTTAAAGAGAAATCATAAAAAGAAAAATTATTATTAATTTGCAAATCAATATTCTAAAATATCCATGAATCATGCAAGACGCCAGTATCATTTAGCTATCATTCATGTTTAAGCGTATTCTAGAGCAACAAACTTTCAATAATAGAATCAGTGGTCAAAACTAGGACTCGGGTTAAGACTCACAAAGGTCCAGAGTCAGAGTCATCAGTACGACTCAACCGAGTCTATAAAAATCTAACAAAGCAAAGTCCCTAACCCAGTTAGAATCAACAAGGTCTCTCGCTTTCTAAACCGGACCAGCACCATGCCAGGTCTAAGTGACCTGAATCACTGCAGAGAATATTTGGCCAAAAATATAGAACTGCAAAGAAAATATCACTTCAATGAAGAAGCATGATTGATGAGTGGTATTAAAGAACCACAAATCCCACCTTTACTATTTTACATAAAATATTCATGTGTTAGTGAGCAAGAAGTAATAGTGAGCAAGAAGTAATACCTGCATACAATCCTGGCTGCAAAAAGAATTTAGAGGGCCATCAAAACAGCTCGACGTAGCAATCCTTTCTTGAGCACACTCATGATGAACTAGAAAAGAAAGCAAATAAAAAATATTTTTTTCTTTAGCTCCACCATTCAATTGTAGCAACATATAATGCACTTCGTATATTTTTCTTATTTATAGAGCTATAGACACGCTTGTGCGCACACATTTCTACATCCATCCATAAATACACAAAAAGTGAAATACACAATTGCATGGATATGTACATACACATTTATTTTACAATAAAAAAATGCATTTATACATCTTTGTTTATCAACTTGTGCATGTATGTAAATATGTGCATGCAGATTACTATTTATATGCCTAGCAAATGCAAATTTGCACAAACGCTCACATTCATGATCTATAAGGCATGTACATACATATTTAAGTACACATTTGAGCACACGTGTGTCTTCATGCATGTAATTATCCAGCCTTCCATAAACACATATATGCATGTGTGTGTGCAACCATACATGCACATATGCACCCAACCAAATGTATGAACTGCAAACATGAAAATATAACTTTTTTTTCTCAATAAACTGAAGAAGCAACCAGTTCGTCTTTCAAAGTTTTGAAAACTTGTAGATCACCAAGAGAAGGCAAAAATTACATACGTTTCATCTCACATTGGCCGCATGAGAGCAGTTGATTCCCTTCACCTCCATTTGCCCCACAAAATCTGCACAAACAATTTGGGCAATGCCAATCACCAGAAGGAAGTGCCTGCAACAAAGAAAACAGAAACTTCAGATATTGAAATATGGCAAGTCAGACAAAGAGCAAGTCAAAACTAAAATTTTTACAAACAATGCCATTTGAGAAGCAATAAAATGCAATTATAACTATCAATACCTTTATTGCCAGGCAGCATTGGTGGTAGGTTGAAGGACAACCATCACAGCAAAGCAAATCCCCACCATCCCCACATATCCCACAAGTATCATCATTTGTATCGCTTTCGTCCACTTTCACAATGTGAACCTCACGCCTTTCATGTTCACTTTGTGTGTCCCATGCTTCTAGTTGGCATTGCAACAGAGACTTGCCCGATCCCAAATATGTATTCTGAAATGGGGTACGCGGTTTGCTGCCGGCATGAACCTCAAACTGCGAGACTGTGAGAATTTTATCACAACAACCACATAAGATCCCATCTCTCGTAATCCATCCATTAAGCAGTACTTTGGTATGTCTTTTATTCCAATATTGAACCTTTTGATCCTGAAGCACAACCCCAGAATCAACGAGCCACGACACAATCGTCCGTTTCCCTTTATAGGGTACAAAAACCTCTTCAGGATTAAGATTTGCCCCCTTCTTAGGATTGCGAACCATCAGTGCACAGCCTCTGCTATTTTTCTTTTTCTGTCCCTGCATTAGATGGCTGCCAAGTGAGGAATGTAGCTTTGGAAAACTCATAGTCTTCGATAATTTGTGGCTTCCAAGCATCTTATTTGATTTTTGCTTTGAAATATTCCCTTCACCAAGCCGTCTAAAATCCATATTATGAATCTTGCCATCCTTTATCCCTTTGCTCAAAGACTGACCAGGTTTCAAAAACTGAAACTTTCCACTCGTTTGATTTTTATGTACCCCTTTAGAATTTAAACCTAAAAACCCATTTTCCTTTACTCCGCCTGCCATTGCCTTATCTTTTGCAAAATTCACTTGGTTCTTGTTTTTTGCTCCCCCTTTTGCAACCCTTCCACTTTTCCCACCCTTGGCCTTCATGGAATGTACAATATTTGATAAGACTTTGCTCCCCGTTGCTTGTTCTCCATCATCACGTCTTCTGAGTCTCTTGCGTGTCTTGTTTGTTTTCCTTTTCAGAATGCTGAGTTCCTCAATATGCACAGCACCAGACATGGAGGAACCACATCCAGGGGATTTCATGTCATTCGGACTTGTAGGACTTTTCATATCTATACTCCCATTTTCTCCATTTAAACGATTCATGAGTGCATAATATGCATTGGGGATGGACCAATAAACAGATCCTGTTGGAGAAACATACACTGGATCCTCATACTTTCGGCTACTACGAGGCCTTAACTCAACTTTCCACCCCGCTGATAAAAGCATGCCAATAATCCTATCTCGCAAAGCCTGCTTCTGCTCTCTTTTTCCAAGCTTCTGATCACTTTTTTGTTTCCTCTCAACAGGACCACATTCACCTTCCATCTCGACTGAAGGAGGAAACACATGCTTCTCCCCAATCCTTTGATTGGTTTTCTGTACCCTTTCACCGAGAGCACTTTCTCGATCCTTCTTGACTGAAAATGGAACTGCACCTCTCTTCCCAATCTTCTGATCGATTTTTTGTTGCCTCTCATAAGGACAACTTCCTTGTTCCTTCTTGATGGCAAGAGGAACCGCATGTCTCTCCCCCATTTTCTGATTGATTTTCACTTCCCTCTGAAAACGGCCGCTTTGTTGTTCCTTCTTGATTGATATAGGAACAACATCTCCCTTCTTAAACTTCTGATTGCTCTGTTGATCCATCTCAAGAGGACTGCTTCCTTGTTCCCTCTTCACTAAGAGCGGAATTGTATCTCTCTTTCCAATCTTCTGATTGCCTTTCTGGTCCCTCTCAAAGGGACCACTTTCTCGCTCCTTGACTGAAAAAGGATTCACATTACCCCTTATGTTCTTTTCGGTTTGTGCCACTGATTTTACCAAATTTACACATACATCCCCTTGTTTTAACTCAGGCTTAAATGGGGAAGAATGAATTTTCACCTTAAGATCATAAGGCCTTTCAGAAAGCAATGTTGGTGATTTCCCCGAAAAAATGGGATTATCTTTCACATTTATAGATGTGGAGCTGTGATTGTCCTTGGGATCACATAATGGTGAAGAATACGTTTTTGTTTTTCCCGAAACAAACTTGACCCGAATAGATTTCACACATTTGTGCCCATTTTGATCAGAAGGTTCTATGCTTTCTCCTTTTGTAGTTCCCTCTCTACAATTTCCTAAACCCTCTGACACAACAGATAAGCTCTCCTTGCTATTCTCCATCTCTGATATAACATTATTTCTCTCAATTCTCACCCCGTTGTCTATCTCCATCCTAGACTTCTTTTCTGCAACGAAAAAATTATCCTCTTTCCTTTTCGGATTTTGAATTTTTTCATGACCAGGGCTATCAGTTCCCCTGTGTAGAAAAGCTCTTATATCTCCATGTTTTTTAGGGAAAGCTCTTGCATCCCTATTGACATGCTTGTTTGAAAGTAACTTTGCCCTTTGATCAACTTCCCTATTCCCTATTCCAACCATTTGTTGCCTGTCAGGAACACCCAAAACACCGATCCCACTCCTTTCCTCCATTTCTCTTGATGCAGATATTCTTGAACTCACCTTAATTCTTTTATTATTGACAAAATCGGCTTTATGATCATCACTGGCATCAATTTTCTCTGGACTAGATAAGTCATGGTCAGAATCACTGTCATTCAAAATTAACCTCCGTCTCTTCTTCTCCTTCTTGGACTCGAAAACCATTGACTTACTCCCACCTCTGCCAACCGAAACCTTAGGTTTGAACTCATTTTTCGCAATCCTTGATGATGCCATGGGAAAAGACCGCCTAGCATCGCCTCCCCTGTCTGAAACTTCCCTGTCCCTTACACAATCCTCCATCTCAATCCCTAAACTACAAATTCCCTAATTCATATCACCCTCCATATTAACTACCTACTCCCCTGTAACCCTAATCCCGACCCTCCCCAAAACTCCACATTCATAACAAATCAGAAACTCCAATCCCAAAACCCTAAGCAGATATCAATAGCCCAATCACGGACACAAAATTAAACGAATCTAATAACAAATACAGATCTGTACCAAAACGTTGGATTCCAGATATCAAAAAAAGCAGTAACGAAATCAAAATTACCGGCTGTAAAAGATACAACAACAAACGAAAACCGATAGATCTTACCGGAAAATTCCACCAGAAGTTTCACGCAGAGAGCTTTCAAGGGGAAACGTAGAGAGAGAGCGCTCTGGTTTCTCTTATCTTAGAGAGAGAGGGGTTGGTTTTTTTGGGCTCTTATAAAGGAAAAAGAAATAAAAACGATTTGGATTTCAATTTGTCTGAGATCGGCGCGCTCGCGAAAACAAAAAAATCACTGTTTTCCCTCCAAGTCTTGTGCGATAAAATATAATTAAATCTACAACGGGATAAAATATCCTGATCTTTATGAATAATACCAAATTAGTCATTGACCTTTTCCAGGTTCAATGAGATGATTTTCTTTGTCTCTGCTAGGGACCAAAATGTCTTTTGTGGCCCTGACACTTTTGCTGCTTTCTCCGCTTTGTGCCTCTTGTAACGTGCAGCTTTGTTATTTGAGTATTAAATGACATGGAGGTCCTCACTTCATGTCGTCCATTAGATGCATCCACGTGCACATTCAACGGTTTGGATTCAATTTGGATTGTTGCTGATTGATTTTGTTTTATTTTTATTTTTTAGAAATTTTATTCACATAATAATTGAAGCATGCATTTAAATATAACACTCACCCATAAAGTACAAATGAGCAAAATACCCTTATAACATTTAGTTGTATTTTAGTTCTCTGGTATTTTAATTTATTTTTTGTATTTTTGTCATGTGTACCCGATAAATATGCATTGCACTTCAATTTTTTTGAGAATCAAACTTCTGAACAAAAAAAATGAAGAATAAGAATCAAAATGTAGCCCTTGAATTGGTCCCAAATCAATCTGCCTGAACTAGTTCAAATATGTTTGTGCACCCATCATTTGAGAAACAAATGAATCAATATAAAGGAAAAAGGTTATATAAGGTTGGAAAGTACATATTCACCTAAAAAATCTATCGGAAAACGTTGTTTGAATGTTAAAAAGTCCTCTAATTAATCATATCAACATCAAGATGTATGAATATAAAAAATAAAATAAAAAATATTTTGAGTCCCATAAATAATACATATTGAAGCGCATTATCTAGATCGTCCATGTTCAATATTTTCATATGTTTATAGATCTATTTTAACCATTTTTTGAGTTTAAGATATTATAGTTAGATATAAAAATAGACTTTCAAATAATCCTAGCAATTTTTTTACATAAAAATTGCTTGTTATGATAAATTTTCAAAATGACTTTTAATTAGATTGTTTAAAGTTGCAACCTTATAGAAACTACACCCGATATAAAAGCCTTATTTAGTTAAATTAATAGAAGAGCAAGAAAGAGTGGATGAGAGAGACAGAGAGGGAGCTTATCCAATGTTAGAGAACGAAAGGTTGGTGTGCAGCATTTGTTTTAGCTATTTGTTGGTCTAAGTCCAAGTCCAGCTAACTTAACCGATCCAGAGCCAACATGTTTACCCCCTTAAAACTCGAAACCCAGCCGTTATGCATGTGGACTCATTTTACTCCTTGCTCCGTGCTCCCATACCTAAAAATTCATTTTATCATTTGCTCATAGGGTCGGCTGAGAATTTACCCAATTCAGATTGAAAACCCAAAATTCGGATCTGTTTCTAGATTTGGGAATAGATCCAGATCCAAAATATAAATTTGAATGGTAACTCAGGTCAGATATGGGTATGGATGGATCCGACCCGATTTTTTAAAATAATATATATTATTTATATGTATGCATATATATTATAATTTATATATAATAAATATAATTATTATAATTATACTATAAATTTATCAAAATTATACTATAATTTTATAATTATCGAAAATAAACCCCGTACCCATTTATTGGGGTGAATAGACGAAAATAGCCTTCATGGTAATCTTAGAACCATGAAGGCATCACAATCTATTGAAAACCGTAATGATCATAGCGAGTTGTGAGTCAAATGTAATTTTGAATCATCACGGCACTTAAAGAAGCATGATGGTTTACTGTACATATGGATATTATCACTGTTATCCAGGTGTCGTTAATGTTTCATTCGTTGCATGGCATAAGAGCCCTTAGCGACCACCACGGCTTTTTAAGCGTCATCGTGCCTCTTAACGACCATCACTATTGTTTAAATGTTGTGATGTCTCAAAACATTCAACCGCTCATGACCACCATGGTAGTGAGTCTGTCACGATGTTTTCATGGTTATAAGACTACCTTGATGACCATTTTGGTAAAAAATAGGTAAAAAGTGAAGAAAATTGGTATGGATGAGGTTTTGAAAATTTTGGGGTTTATTTTCAATAATTAAGATATATTTTTTATAATTTCCCACTTATATTTTAACTTTATGATATATAAATTTGGATATGATTCAAATTCAGTTTTGGATCCAAATCTTATATAGTTTTGGATCTAGTTCTAACTCTGAATATTCTAGATCTGATCGGATCTGGATCTGTGTTTGGATCCGATGTATACTTTTTGAATCATATATGTAGATCTAGAGCGGAATCGAAAATTTCTAAACCCTAATCGAGACCCAAGGCGGATCTCATGTGTCACTTCTCAAGCATCCAGACCCGAAACCGAGTCGAGTTTTTCTTCATCTCGTGATATGTGACACTGTCCATTTGTGCACCAGTTGAATTTTCCATAAATTTTGCCTTAAAACTAACGATGTGTCGCTCCTAACGACTACTTGGAGATGCTTTTCTTCATCTTTCGTCATTCTCTCTAATCACTTTTGCTTTGTTTGATAAATTTCCAAACGAAAAACGAATTGAATCCACCAAACGTCTCCGGGCCCCAACAACTAAACCAGCTTGCTTCATCTTCTCGTTCAAGCACATCTTAATTTTTAATCATAAATTAATTATCCCACGAAAAGTCTACACTCCTATCCCCTCTTTATTATGAAAATATTTTATAATTCCAATTTTTAGATAAATCTCCTAAGTTATGTAACTTCAGACCATCATAATCTGGAGTGAGAATGATCCAGGACCGAGTGGGTCGGGTCCATATGACTTGGACCTAAGGGTACCCGGACCCGGACCCGGACCCGACCCATGTTTGGGTATGGGTCAAAAAATTGGACCCGGTGGGTCAAATCCGGGTTCAATATTGAACCCAAACACTATTCGGGTCGGGGTCCAGGTCCGTGTCCATTTGGCCCAAACCCCAAATAGTGTTATTATTTAACAAATATTTAATATATATAATATTTTTAATAATATTTAATTGATATTTAAATAAACATAACTGTATATTTTAGCCATAATATTTAAATAATACATGTATATTTTTTACATAATACTTAAATGCATTGAATTATATATAGTTTTATTTTTAGGTCGGATCTGACCGACATGGTACCACCCCTGCTTGGACCCTACCATGGACAGGTTTGGGTATGGCGTAGACTCGGATGGGTCGCATCAGCTTAGGGTAGGGGTCGACCAACCCGTATAAAATATATACAACTATATAATATACAATATATAAATTAGTTTTTTTTACTTTTAAATTTATAGACCTGGGTTTGGGTCGGGTCCTGGTCCAAATGACTATGACCCAACCCATATCTAGGTCAAATCTGAGTCCAAATGACTTGAAACCAACTCAGGTCCAGAATAGGGTCCACAAGGACCCAGCCCAACCCTTTGCCACACCTAATTTCAGAGGTGAAGTTTTTTGTTTTGTGGATATTTTTGTCATTGTTCTACCTCTCATTACATTATTTCTATGTTTACAGACATAAATCCACTAGCTTCCTATTATACTTATGTTGGATCTCTTGCTTTTTGCCCTTGATGTTTTTATATGGCACATTTTATCATGAAAAATAACGAGCGGATATTTTAAGGAAAATTGTTTCATGTCTACATTATGTGGTCCCAAGGTATAAAGCATCCATATTTAGGAGGGGTACAAGTAGATGTTCCATCTTAAAACAATTGAAACTAATGGTTCAAATGTTTTTTTCGTAAAATCATTATTTTTATTTTTAAATTTTTTTTTATTTATACTAATGATTGTTGGGTTTATGTGACTTTTAAAGGCTTTATGAGAGTTTGTATGAGCATTTTATATAGTGAAACATAAACTCAGTGGGAGTATAGCCCTTTTGTGAACAATGTTAGGAAAATGTTATTTGTTGATACTCGAACTAGGCTCGACGAGCTTAGTAGTGGGTTATCCCTTGATGAGGTTGGAATATGCTCGTATAAGAGCTAGGAGATTGTGTGGCTCTTACGTGTGATGAATAGCCTTTAGAGACAGGGCTAAGACTTCGTCGTTATATCATCGCACGGCATGTACATATATAACCGTTTTGAGATTCACCAATGAAGATGAAGCGTGTACATATGCGAGAGATTATCCCTATGCACCATAGAGTAATGGTTGCATCATAGTCTGGAATACCATGATTATTTTCTCTTGGGGATAACCGAAAATCCATAAACCGATATTGCGTCCCTTAGTCTATTAGCTGACTTTGGTAGTCCAATTATGAGCCCCTGCAGTAGACTGTGGGTCATAGGAACTGTTGGGTCAGTTTGAGCAAGCTCGGCGGATTGTGATTCGCAGTTGAAGGTATAATGCTCCCATATATTGATAATTTCCTAGATCTAACGGATCCGATTCTCATTGAAATTAATTAATTTTATATTATGTGATTTTTAAAATGTTTATTTGAATTTTTGTGAATCTTGTAATATTTTATTTTTGTCATTTGGATTTATAAATTAAGAAAAATTCAAATTTTAATTTTTTAAATAAAATATAGGATTTAAAAAATTATAAATATGAAATAAAATATTTTTTAAAAATATATGGACCTCCATAAAATATGGAGCTCAAAATTTAAATACATGTGGATTAGGTGGAGCCCACACGTGGCCAACAAAAAGGTGGCATGCCCTACCCATTCACTTATTCTTCTTGGGAATAATGTTTATCCCTTGTTGACTTATTTTTTGGGTATACCCATGACAATGTTGAATAGTTGTGATATTTATTAAATATTTTAATCAATATTAGTTGATCGAATAATTAATGATTAGATATATTAAAATATAATATATTTTTTATTTAATGACAATTTGTATTAAATAATTAAGGATTTTATATATTAAATATAAGTTTTCCTTATTTGATGGGAAT